TGGACCCTAAGTATCGGGTCATTGGAATGCAGGCGCTGCGGGTGGTCGACGGGTCGACTTTTGCGGTCTCGCCAGGCACCAATCCTCAGGCCACGCTCATGATGCTGGGACGATATGTCGGTCTCCAGATAATCAAGGAACGCTCCGGATCCGCTCATGTACACTGATTTTTTACTTTCTTTTCTTGCGTTTATTATCTTTGTACTCTGCATCTGTGTTGATCTTGATCATAATAACAAGCGTTCGCCCTAATTCTTCTCAATTGGTCATCCATTTATATATCCACACATCAAACTATTTACTCAAATTTTTTCTCTGAAATATTGGTTCAGCATAGCTTTTATTGCTAATAATTTACTACCGAATGTTTTATGTTACGTGAGATTTCTATTACAATTATATTTTTTTTCCTATAAATGTAGAGGTGATGAGGATTTTAATCTCCACTCACCTAAATGAGTTTTTTTTTTCCTCTCTCCTTTCTACCGAAAAAGAAAACATAACCATTAACTCAAAATGACCATTACCTTCACTAGCTTTGTGTCAATACACCTGTAGGGTTGGTTACGAATGAGATGAATTGGAAACCGAATGAAGGAAGCGTGCGGAGTAGACACTTGTTTTGGGTTTTTTTTTTTTTTTTTATTATTACAAGACATAGGAGAATTCGAACCTAGATCTTAGATGTCTAACACCTAAACTTCTTTCTGCGCCAACTACGACACTTGTTTTGGTTTAAACCAGCAAACCCTCACACCAAACCGAAATGCTTCGGTTTAGCATGCTATGCCAGCGAACCTAACGAGCCAACTCAAACCGAAATCGAACCTACTTTGGATTCGGTCGATTTTGGCAGTTTTGTCAATTTTGGGTTGCACTCCTAATGGCCGGTGCTAGCTTGGTGGTATGATCTTCCGAGTACAAACATAAACATAGTAAATGGAACAAGCATTATTGTCACAACACACCACAAATAATAAACTGAAAAATAGCAATATTGTATTTGTCTTCTCTGCACACGTTGAAAAATATGCGAGATTGGATTCGAATTCTCAATATTTTGATCGGAGATTGGTGTCTTACTCAATTGAGCTATACTCAATTTTTTTTTCTTCCTACATGTTATATACAATGTATAATATTTAGGTATTTTAATACATTTCTAAATGAAAATAAGAGAGGTGATTATTACGAAATAGTAACAAATTTTCTACTATAATCAATGTTTCTTATGTATGAAAACTAATTGGAAAAACATGACATCATCGTAAATAACTATTGGTATTGAATTACAAATTAAAAAGATCAAAACTCATCATCTCATTATATTTTTTTTAAATCAACGTTGGATAACTATTTCATTTTTTATTTTTTATTTTCAAAGTTTTTATAAACATTTTAAAAATTAAGTTAAATCAGGGAAAGAAAAAGTAATTTTTATTTTAGAATTTAAATATGTTTTCAACATAAGGTGAAGATTGTGAAGATGGTAAAAAACAAGCATGATTTTAAGAACAGACCACTAAAATAATTTCACTTTTTTCCATTTGGAAAAAAAAAACAATTTAACTTTTCCAACGACAAGTCGTCGACCTGGAGCCAAATATAGGGCAGCCGACGCGTCGTGGGTATGCAGAGCAGAGGTAGAAATTTCGCCCTCGGCGCTCCTTCTCCTACTTCACCGCAGGGAATCTCGAAGAAGTTCCGACACACTTCCGACGAGGACGGGTATAATCCCTCTGTTTTTCTGTCACCCCGCTGTCTACTAAGCTGCTCTTTTGGAGTTCAATAAGCTATTATTATTTATTTTTTTTAACATTGGATACAGATTACAGGAAGATATTGATTGCTTTGGATATGTTTTCAACCGATTTGTTATTTTCTTCGAGCGAATTAGGTCATATGGCTATTATCTCTGTGCTTCGGTACTTCTTGGAAGTTGGAACTGGGAAAAGTTTTCATTCTTAAGTCTGATATTATTTTTGCGTCGAATCTACTTTTAGGTAGTTAAATTATCGGAATTTCTGCTTGAATGAGTATAATAGATTATAGCTTCTATAATCATGGTAATCGTGATTTCAGGATGTCTTCTATGAAGCGATATTGTCCTAATTCTTGTCAGCGCCCTCAAGTACGTGTACCTGATGTAAATATGGACATAGATAGAATAGAATATCATGTAGGATTTTAGGTGGGCATTGCTTGAGTTAATGATGCCCATTGCCCATAAAGAACCTACATTACATATAAGGATGTGAGGCATTTGCTTCGATCAGGAAAAGTTACTTATGTTGATCAAGTAGATTCGAAGCTGATCTAAGCTCCCAAGGGGCAGTCCGGTTGCGAAGCTGATCTAAGCTCCCAAGGGGCAGTCCGGTTGCCAAGAGCGTGCAGTCTCTTGGTCATACTGACTTAGAAGTCTCAAGTTCGAACCTTTCGGTGAACTTAATACACAAAACCCTTGATGTCTCTCGGGTTTGGGCCTTGGAGCCGGATTTACCCTAGGTATAGAGGATCAAAGCTCCGACTCCCCGTTATAAACTTATTGTGTGTCATGAAGTGTGGTTGTTTGTGTATGGTGTATATGTATTATTACCTGTTTTTGTTGAAATGCTCATAGTATTTGACTAAATAGTTTATGAGTCAAAAAATAAACACGATAGTTAGTTGTCCATCATCTCTTCTCACTCGGAGAAGACGAAGAAACTTCTTTTCGAATATAGACATGGGAACTACCATGGGTAACAGATTGGTTCAATAATCAAAGAGGTGAGCTAATAAGTTCAAACCATAATGACAACTAAGGAAAACATATTCTATGAGTTATTATAGGGTTCATGCAAGTATTAGTGATTGTTGCCGTGTGAGATTAGGCATGGGGTGCATAATTTGGTTCTTAATTATCCAAAAAAGTGTTGCATAATATGGCGTTGGTACCTGTGATTAATTATAATTGACACTTAGAATTAGACACGGTAAACTCTCTATCTTCCTTTACAAATCTTGAGCAGTGTTCTGGTTATAGGTCTAGGTGGAGGCCATCACTTTCCAGATCAATTGTTAAATTATTTTTTTCATGTGATCATATATGCTGTGAACTGGTTTTAGACTGGAGATCTATGGTTTGAAGGTCGTACGAGAATCCAAAAAATCTCAACCTATTATTTTTTCAATAGTTCAATTTTCGTTTACCACAATTCTGCTTCCAGATTGCGGGGAAGTTGCCGCTGCTTGCTTGAATGGAAGCTGAAATCTCAAACGATCGGATTAGTGGTGAAGTTTTAGAAGACCAAGACTACTTGGAGAAGATAAATAAGCTAGAGGGTTACATGGATGAGGTGAAATTCTTCCTCCAAGTTCCCATCTCAGAAATAATGAAACCATACTTGTTCCTGCACCTTCCTTATGGTTTGCTTAATGGCTTATCGGTTGAGTAATTTATTGTCAATATGATTTTGAGTGTTCACATAATTATAATTTAATTTGGTTTCAGTGTTTTTATCTGGTGCTTGGTGGCTCATGTTCAATTCAGGTGAAGAAGATTGCAAGAGAAAGCTGTTCCCAAGAAGTTGTAGAAGTGGCATTGCGCTCAATCTCCTCCCTAATTACCCTTCTCTCCTCCATGTCTTCTACCAACCTCATCCTCCATTCTTCACTTTGATCTTCACCCCATATCCCCTTTTGTTTCCTGTCAAATGCATGTACACGACCTTCCTGCCGTGGATTATGTGAATACTATTTTTTCTTTTTTGGATGGGAAGTCGGAGCTTTGCTCCCCTACACCTAGGCTCGGAAGACATCAACAGTTTATTGTATTGGGCTTATCAGAAGATTTGAACTCGAGACCTCTAAGCAGTATGATTCAGAAACTCCAAGCCCATTACCAACTGGGTTCCCTTTGGGGCACTTTTCCGTTTTCTCGTCTTTATGTCTTCCAACAGTAGTCAATCTAAGCATACTTTACAAGAAACTTCACTTATTACCGTCCGGTTGATGCAATTTTTGGGGAACTCAGGTCGGGTCGAAGGGTGAGGTTGACCGAATCGAGCTATCGAGTAAATCGATCGTCGGGTGGTTGAGGAAGAGTGGAGTCTAGGGTTGGAATAGCGATGATCTGCAATAAGTGAGGATATAAGGAAAAGAACACTGGTGTTGTGTCTATCGACCACACTTCGATGCTTAAGAGAAGAGAGGAAAAAACAAGTCTTAGTTTGAATTACTTACCTCGAAAGGTTGAGGATCATTTCTATCTATAGCTTTTGATAGCTTGATTCGGTCGACCCCATCCTTCGAAGCGATCCAATTTCCCAAAAAATTGCATCAACCGTTGATGTCGTATAATTGAATGTTTGATCTTTTGCCTATACTTTTTTTGAACTAAAAGTAAATAATAACTTGCAACTATTATGATATGAAATTCAACTGACTTGTATTTTTGTTTCATAATTTGTAATTTTTGATGCATGGTTGGCATGTGCATTAGGTCAAATAACGTACCAAGTTATATATAGCACGAATCAAATAGACATAAATAGCAATAGGAGCATGTTTTCAAAATTGGTTACTTTTTGTAAAAAATAACTTAGCATAAAACAACTTATATAAAGTTTTCGTGGTTTTTTATTTAATTTTTTTTCGGTATATATAAAATATAGTACTTTCGCACGAGACCCAATTCAATCAGGTCGGTTCTATGGTGTAGTGGTTAGCACTCTGGACTTTGAATCCAGCGACCTGGGTTCGACTCCCGGTAGGACCTTTTTTAATTTTTTATTTTTTACTCTTCAGAAAAGTAAAATTACATCAACGGACCATTTATTTGGGCTTTTGCCGACAAAAAGAGGCCCACTGGCTTTTAGCAAGGCCTATTAGATCATGTCTATTTGGGACAGTGAATTAGAACCTTATTATCGTTTTGTACAAATACCATTACAGGATTAAGTGGTTCTATGGTGTAGTGGTTAGCAGTCTGGACTTTAAATCCAGCGACCTCGGTTCGACTCCCGGTAGGAAATTTTTTTACTCTCTACAAAAACGAAAATTACTCATCGGAGGCGTAGCATCTTTTTTGAGCTTCAGAAGAGGCCCACTATACTATTCGGCCTTTTTTCAGCGAGGCCCATTACATAAGCCCAAATACTGTTCGTCGGCCCACCACTCCCAGTTAAACCACGCGCAAATCGGTGGAGCGAAAGCATCGTCAAGACTGGAGAGAGTGAGAGGGAATATAGGATTTTCTTTGAGGGAGAGAAGAGGAGAGAGAATTACAGAGAAATGGCTTCGAACGCAGCGGTGCCCTTTTGGAGAGCGGCGGGGATGACATACATCACGTACTCAAACATATGCGCCAATCTGGTCAGGAACTGTCTCAAGGAGCCTTACAAGGCCGAAGTTCTCAGCCGCGAGAAGGTTCACTTTTCAATTTCCAAGTGGGCAGACGGCAAGCCCCAGAAGCCCAGTATGTTCTCTCTCTCGCTCCTATTTAGAATTTTGGATCGAGATCTAGGGTTTCTATATTTTTCCTTTCGGCTTTTATCGGGTCTTTTGTTTCTGATTTGTGTTCGATACATTGACCTGTTATTTGTCAAACATTTGATTTTCTCGGGTTAATTGTTTGAGCTGGTAGAACGATCATACAATTCGCGTCGATATGGTTCGTTTAGGGATATAAATTACGATTTGCATCCTGGTTCTCTAGGGCTTGTTGTTTCCATCGGCCTATATGCATATTAGTATGGTGTGATTTAGATGCTATTTGCGTTGCATCAGTTGTACTGATTTTTCGCTTCCATGTTGTGCTACTCATTTGTATGTTGGTAATATGTTCCGCGTGAGTTGTAGTGGAGTATCTCTTTTTTCGATCGATTTGATGTTAATAGTTAAAGTATTAGGCATTCGCTCATTTTGCCTGTATTTCCAAATCTGTTGAGAAATATCATGCAAATGAATAACTTGATGGCCTATTTGACTCATATCTTGTCAATGGCGGTTTAGAGTTTTAGCTTGGAGATCTTTATGGTTAGATTTTAGGGGCGATATTGAAAAACTAATAAACTGAAAAGCCAATAAAAAAGGATGTCGGTTGGCACAAAGAAGCTGTTCGTGGTCTGCTTTGTTAAATCAAGGACTGACTGTAATTTCGTTCAACTTAGACGCGTAAAAAACTGACCCTAATCTCCCCTCAAAGTTTTTCAACCACCTTGTTATTTCGTTCTCTTTGACCAATGGTAAGTTGTACTTCTACTCCACCTGATACCAACCAGCTTTCATATCAAATAGATTTAAGGCTGTAGAATAGGGAGGGATTTCTTCGCTCATTAGCTCATTTGTTTTTAAGGTATGATGGTGCAGTGGTAAATATGTTTTGCCCTAGCAATCTAGACAATTCTGAATCTCCTGAGTGTAGATAATATGTTTGAACCTTGGCTGCAGATCCACAATAGTCTTCTAGTAAGGGGCACAGACTTTTTCTTCTTGAGTTTATATGTGATCTAGTGGGAACTTCCTTGAAGATAACCCCCAAAAGTCTGGGAATTTTGTGTGTTTTGCAGCAGTGGAAAGTCTTGCTTACTCCTTGTCAGTTGATTACAAATATGTTGTTTTTAAAGAGTGAAGTTTTTCATAAACCAAATTTTGTTAGGTGCGACTATGGTACCACGAAAATTCCTCTTCAAATGTTTCACAAATTGTTTCTACACACATTGGACTCAATCAGCAATTTCGAAGTAAATACTGCATTGCTTGATTTTGACACATACTTTTTTTTTTTTGTGGTATGTTTGTTTTGCTTATCATTTGATCTTATTGCATGACTATTTGTTGTAACAACTCCAAAAGCCTATTCTTGACAGAAGTTTTATGAGTTGTAGCCTTAGATCCCAAATTTCAATACTAAAATGAGCTTTAAAGTAATAGTGTGTTGTGATATGTTACTAAAGCGAGCAAGTGATTATTTTTTGTTATAGAGTTTTGATTATTTAATCTATATGTCCTCTGTATTGACTAATGCTTGGCTTATGTTTGTTACATCAGCTCTTAGGTCGGACACTCCTGAAGCGTGAAGGCGACCGTGTGGATTGTTAATCTCTTATGAAGGTGCTTCTGTTTTTTTTTTATATCAACATTGGTAGGGTTGAATCAGTTTTTGGAATCAAACCTTTTATGGAGATGGATTGATGAAATCTCTGGAATTTCCATGGGTTTGCAAATGTAATAAATCTTGCTACTAATGTTTTAATTGTATCGGGTTGGTTTACGATATACAAGTATGGAGAGAGAGCATTTGAATCTCGACACATTGAATAATCTCTCTCGTATGGTATGGAACTATTTTAGACATATAGTATAGTCCAGATCAATGATTATTGTATTCAACCACTCTTGGCGGAGGTTGAACCAAACGCACCTTCATGTGAAGATTGCCATATTCAAAACAAAAAGGCTGTTACCAGTAAAGTTTCCATTTTGAAAAATATTATTATGAAATAATAGTCCAGTAATTAATTTCCCACCCCACCTGTTGGCTGTATCCCAATAAACAAACAGGCCATTCCCTGATCCACGCTAATATTTCAATTTCTTCTATCAATGTCGTCTAACATGTTACTCATTTGAAATATGATGCTTCATCTCAACTCTTTCTCCACCAGCCCCACTGAAACCAAATTGATCCAAACTAATTTGTTTGGTTCAGCTATATAAGAGAATTTGAACCTCTCGTATCTTGAAATTGAATCTAAATCGGTGTGGCCAATATATATAGATCAAGTCCGTTTTGATCTTACTTTCAAAGCAGAGAGCAGGAAAATGTGTCCTTCAAAGGCTACCTTTATCCCTCATTCTAAAAGAACTTGACCAACTCAAAATTCATATTCATCTTCTTATCTGGAGGCATAGCTTTCTAGATTCTTATATGCAAGCATAACTTTCTAGGTCCAGTCTGACGCCCCTCCTTTCTCTCTCCGATGGCGGGTGCCACCCTACTATACTAAAATAATTGAATCTATTGGCATGGTTGAAACTCAAATTTTGTGTTTTTGGGACATTTCTTTAGTTGCATGATCTTTAAAATAAAAAAGAATGGTTTGGGATTGAAGTTTAGAAAATTAAATTTAGGGGCAGAGTAAGGTTGCGTGGTTTTTGTAACCCCACAAAATTTACTTTTACTCCACAGTTTAACGATTGAAGCCCAGAATTGGCAGTCCCAATAGTCCCCACCTGAGCTGCCGAGAGAGAGAAAAAAAAAGTAGAATTTAGGCGTCGCGTAGAGAGACAAGGAGTCGTGCTCTGCTTTCTTTCAAGTTTCTTCAATCTTCCCTTCCCCTTCCCCTTCCCCTTCTTCTCTCTCTATTTTCTCTGTTTTCCCACCTAAACCTTAACCCCTCTCCCACCATTTCCCCTATTCTCCTCTTCTGTTGATCTCGTTTCCTTGCTGCTCTTCAATTCTTCATCACACAGATTCCCATGGCCACCGCCAAGACGGCTCGCTCCCGACCCACGCCTCTCAAGGAGACCGCCGCCAAGTTTGAAGAGGGCATCAATTTCTTCAGGTCCGATAAATTTGATCCTGATTCCTACGTCCAGTCTAGATGCTCTCTTAACGACAAGGTTCGTCCGATCCATTTTCTTCTTTCAAACTATGATCCATTTTATCCTATTTCACCTGTTTCGGGGGACGGAATTGCATGTGATTGCCATCAATTCGCTTGTTTACTATTTTAAGTATGTCGCTTAAATGTTTACGATTGGTTGTGATTTTTTATCATTCATATGGGGTTTCATACAACTAAATTATCCCCATCAAGTATCTAACACAATAGAAATATCGGAATTCCTGAAAGCCTTGTATTCTAGACATCCCCAAGACTTTTTTTTTTTTTTTTGGCAAATGTTATGGATGTGAAAGATGTATTGAGCTACCAAGTACCCCGATTATGCCTGAAAAATTAAATTCCACAGTTTATATTCCTTGGCAGTCTCGCGCCCAAATATATTTTTTTCGTTCCCCATTTGCATCGTGTTATAGTAGGATCAAATAATTTATCTCCATTCTTTGTACATCATCCTGACACAGGCCGCAATAGTTTCAACCTCTTTGTCATACAGGATCGTTAAAGGAGTACAATACGTGATGCATATTGATTCAATTTGAACCAAAATGACATTGAGATCCATTCAAAACGCCCTATTGAATTTTAATAAACCGAATAATCTGTTTCTGAAATAAAATCACACAAATTTTTAGAAAGGAGATAGGGAGAGTTTACAAAAATCAAAGACTCTTATACAGTCTTGATTTTAAGACGCTTAATTCACAACCATCATTGGATGGAAGTATCCTTCATTTCCCCAGACCATGTCATTCATGAAGTTAAAAATTGTGACAGAAATAAAAACTCATATCCCAGACACCATAAGTCCAGCTTACTAACATTTCTGATCGAGACAGCAGAATAAGAGTGAAATTCAAAGATAGCTGAAATCATACCAAAAGTGGCAGGTTGTAGAGGTTGAAGGAACCTATGAGACTTGGGAATAATTGAGACATTTGAAAAGGCTTTTAGGGACTTGGAAAACTATGATACTTGGGAATAATTGAGACATTGAAAGACTGGTCTGCTTTTATTGTGCCATTTACATGTAGAGGGTAACCATGTGCTCGCTGTTGGTCAATTAAAAATAAGAGTTAACCACATGTTTTGGCCAAAGAGTCCAATGGAGCAAGTTCTATACCCAGATTTGCTAGAGGTCATAGGTTGAAGCAATCTTGTCACCTATTTAGGATATTAAATATCCTACAAATTATAGGGGTGATGGTTGTTCTACGAGATAAATCTAAGAAGCTAGCCTGGTCACCCATGATTAACAATAATAATGAATATTTACGCTAAATTAATAGTTTTTCTTCTAAAATTTTTGTTTCTTAAACATAAATTAAAGTGTGTGTGTGTGCGTGCGTGCGTGTGTGTGTGCCATTATTTTCATGGTTGTTATCTTTCCTTCTCTCTCTCTGTTTTTTTTTTTGTAGGAAATTAAGCAATTATGTACTTATCTTTGGGATTTGAAGAAAGCTTCTGCTGAGGAAATGCGTAAAAGTGTCTATGCCAATTATGCTGCCTTTATTCGGTAAGTTGTAGCCGGGACTCATTACATTAGATAAACATAGAGCTATTTTGAAGGAATAAAGAGTGTAGGAACCAGCAGATCCATGTGATGAAGGAAGAAATTTTTTAATTTATGAGGGAAGTTTGAAGAAATGCAGTGCACTGAAGTGATGCAAAACAAAACCAATGAGTTGCAGAACTTATAGATATGAACAATGTTGAACAGTATATTTTGTTAAGGAATAAAGTTGAGATAAGCCCACAAAATGTTGCAGTACCTACTTTAATGCTCAGTTGTTCACTGTTAATTTTATTCACAGTAGTTATAATCTATATTGATATCATGTGCTATTTACTCACAGCACATCAAAGGAGATATCAGATTTAGAGGTGGAGCTCTCTTCCATCAGAAACCTGCTATCTACCCAGGCTGCTTTAATTCATGGTTTAGCTGAAGGCGTTCATGTCGATTCGGTGTCTTCCTCTGTTTCTGAAAGTGCAACTTCAAATGGCTTTTTAATTTCAGGAGATGTTGGTTCCTCAGATATCGAGAAGTGGTTAGTGGAGTATCCTGATCTTTTGGATGTTCTCTTAGCTGAACGAAGAGTGGATGAAGCTTTGGCAGCCCTTGACGAGGGAGAGAGAATAGCTTCTGAGGCGAAAGAAAAGAAAACCTTGAGTCCACCAACAATTATATGTCTGCGGTCATCAATTGCTGAACGGAGGCAAAGGTTAGCGGATCAGCTTGCTGAAGCTGCTTGTCAGCCTTCTACCCGTGGTGCCGAACTTCGTGCAGCCATATCAGCACTAAAGAAACTCGGAGATGGACCACGTGCTCATAGTTTGTTACTTAAAGCGCATTTTCAAAGATATCAGTACAATATGCAAAGCCTTCGGCCATCCAGCACCTCATATGGAGGAGCCTATACTGCTGCCCTCTCCCAGTTGGTTTTCTCTGCCATTGCTCAAGCTTCTAGTGATTCCTTGGCCATTTTTGGTGAAGAACTTGCTTATTCTTCTGAGCTTGTGATGTGGGCTACAAAACAAACAGAGGCTTTTGCACTTCTCGTAAAAAGACATGCTTTAGCTTCATCTGCAGCTGCTGGTGGTCTTAGAGCTGCTGCTGAGTGTGTTCAAATAGCTTTAGGTCATTGTTCACTGTTGGAAGGTCGTGGTTTGGCACTTCGTCCTGTGCTCTTAAAACTCTTCAGGCCTAGTGTTGAACAAGCACTAGAAGCCAATTTAAAAAGAATTGAAGAAAGTACGGCTGCCTTGGCTGCTGCTGATGATTGGGTACTAACATATCCTCCAGCAACAACACGCCAATCTGGCCGACCTTCTAGCACAGCCCTTAGTAATACTGCATTCCAACATAAATTGACTAGTAGTGCTCACCGGTTCAATTTTATGGTCCAGGTGAACATTTCCATTCAACTATTATTTCATGATATTAATTTAGTGCGTTGGTGGGTGGGGTATATTATTTTTTGGTGATTGTTTTTGACATTATTAATTACGAATTTACTGTTATTTTTGGAAAGTTACCTATATGTGATTGACCCGATTTTTAATGAGTATAGTAGGAAAGGTGCAAGGGAGGACGTGATGTAAGTGGACGTCCCTTCATAACTAACTTAGTGAATGGGAGGGAGAGAATCTAGAAAATTTATGAGAAACTTACGTATGAGAGAGCGGTATGTTTTTATGTGGCTAGTCTGAGGTAGGGAGAGTTGGGAAACTCTCTAATTTTCCTCTAGGGCTGTTCCACTTTGAACAAAGTGAATTTGGGAGGGCGTATAATCTTTCATTATTTCATTCCTCTTATTGATATGCCCACATTTATTTTTCTGCCAAATCTTCTCCTTGCAGGATTTTTTTGAGGATGTGGGACCTTTACTTAGTATGCAGTTGGGGAGTCAAACTCTGGAGGGATTATTTCAAGTATTTGACTCTTATGTCAATATGTTAATCAAAGCGTTGCCTGGTATGGAAGATGAAGTAAATTTTGATGGTCCTGGAAGTAAGATAGTGCGCTTGGCTGAAACAGAAGCTCAGCAAATTGCACTCTTGGCAAATGCATCATTGTTAGCAGATGAACTACTGCCTCGTGCTGCCATGAAACTGTCCCCACCAGCTCAGACTTTTTATAAGGATGATCCCCGTCGAAGGATTTCAGACAAGCAAAACCGTCATCCTGAACAAAGGGAGTGGAAGAGGCGGCTAGTAAGCTCTGTGGATAGATTGAAAGATACTTTTTGTCGGCAGCATGCCCTTGATCTAATTTTTACAGAGGACGGAGATAGCCATCTCACTGCTGAGATGTACCTAAACATGTATGGAAATATGGATGATGTTGAATGGTTCCCATCTCTAATATTCCAGGTACTTTGTGTAATCCTTCTTTCTGTGTTTGGATTCTCATATAATATGTTGGTTAATGTAGTTCAATTTTATCTGCAAACTATGTATCATCGTGTCCCTACGCATATTTGGGCATGAGAAAAGCTAGATTGACCTATTGGATATGAAAAAATGAAAACACCATGTGCCTAGAAATAGAATCAACTTTCCCCAAGGGGAAAGAAGTTCGTCTATCTTGCCAAATTAGTTTTGGAGAAACTTGTAACAGTACAGCCATTTGCTTCATTTTTCCATAGAAAGTCTAACCTTGTTGTTTGACAACAATTCAGGAACTCTTTGTAAAATTGAGCAGAATGGCTAGTATTGCAGCAGATATGTTTGTTGGCAGGGAAAGATTTGCTACATTACTATTAATGAGACTCACAGAAACTGTCATCTTGTGGCTTTCGGGGGACCAAAGTTTTTGGGATGATATTGAGGAAGGGCCAAGGCCTCTAGGACCTCTCGGTCTTCAACAGGTGGGCACCATCACTTCCATCTATTGCGGATAACTCTTTACGCTACATAATCATGCTACATAATGGCTTGATGAAATTTCTTCACCTCGAGCAGAAGCATGAGTACTTAATTTGTAATCTAAAACTGCTATGTTTTGCTTTCATATCAATTAAAGAGTGTGATATGGAAAGCCGAAGTTTTTACTAACACTTTTTGTTCGATTACCCAAGGTACCGAGAAGGTGTTAACATATTGTATGAAATTGTCTAAAGATGGTTTGATTATTTTAAAAGATAAATAAATAAAATCATTGTAGAAGGTGGTTGAGAATCTCTCAATCACTATAGGCACTTGCTTCCATGTAACTAATCACAGTTAATTGTTTGTATTTTGTGCAGCTCTACTTGGATATGAAATTTGTCATGTGTTTTGCTGCCCAAGGCCGATACTTATCTCGGAATCTGCATAGAGTTGTCAATGAGATCATATCAAAAGCAATGGCAGCATTTGCTGCAACAGGAATGGATCCAGATAGGTACACGTTATGCCGGATGCTATTTTTAACATAAATTTTGTTTGTATGGCTATCTTTCTCATTGTTAACTTAAGCGCGTTGTACACACATGATTTACCTCACCCTCTACTGTAATATGCCATATAGGACACTTGATTTTGGATGCTTAGAACTATATGGTTGTTGAAATAGGAGTATACCGTGGTTGCAGCTTGATTTTAAGTAGTGATTGAAGTGACATGCTTAGGCTGTCTGCTGAGTAGAAAATTATGACGGAATACGTGAACTGTGCAAGTGTAACCACTATTCTAAACGCTTGAAAGTTTGAGTTTCGTTTTGGACGATTGACATGTCGAATGATGATTGTATTTTCATTTGAGAGCAAAAAAACAAACCAAGCCTCCTTAGAGAAACTAGAACCATGCAGCGTGTAGCTGGCTTCCAATTCCAATAACCATTTTAGTCAATGCTTGTGCTTCCTATCATTTTCCAATTAGTTGTGTCATTTGTACAAATTGTTGTGAATTTTGCTTATTCTGTGACATATCTACGACCTCAAATATTTAGCCTTTTTTGAGACTCACTTTGTTTCCTGGCAGTATACTACCGGAAGATGATTGGTTCAACGAAGTTTGTCAAGATGCAATCGAAAGATTGAGTGGAAAGCCAAAGGCTATAAATGGGGACAGGGATCTTAATAGCCCCACAGCCTCAGTTTCAGCGCAGTCAATTTCTTCTGTTAGATCTCATGGAAGTTCTTGAGTCACAAATTTCTTCCTTGTAAATTAGACAACCTAGTTCATTGAGTGTATTCATCCCTCCCGCCACCTCGAGATCTTTAAAATTACATCCATTCTTTTGAGTTCTATTCTCTTTTCCTGTTTCAGTAATAGTAATGGCTTGGCATAAAGTTTATGACAAGCATGTATTTTGTAAATGATGGTCCTACGAACTTCTGGAATTAGATTTGATTTGTCCTTTCTTTCAGCAGCAGCAATCTGCCTGTGATTTTTTTGTTCATTTGTGTCCTAAGCGCTTGGGTTCCCAATCCACATGGGGCTTACTTTTTACAGAGTGGAAATTCTACACATAATTAAACATCAATTTTAAGTTTTACCACACTTTTGAGAAGAACGCTAGCTGCAAATTCCAAAATAGCTGTCTTCATTGCATTCAAGTTACTTTTTGTCTTGTGCAACTCATTTTTACATTTGTGCAAGTTATTTGTTAACAATTAGTAGTTATTTTCCCTTAAATTCCTTTTTTCCGTTCCTGACGAGCCATAGAAGGAATTGCATTCTCTCTCTTACTCTTTAATCCTTTCAAAGGTAGGTGAAAAGCAACTTCATCTCACAAAGGGACAAAAAAATGTTTTCCTCTGAACTCATATCAGAGAGCAATATCAGTCTCACACTTCAGTCAACCAGATAAAAGTTTGAAGGACAATGGCATGAAAACAATTAGAATGTCGATCCTAAACAAGAATAAGTTAACCCAGATCTTGATTAAACCATTCTTTTCTTCCCATCCAACCAATATGCCTACCCAGCCAACAAGAGAGCAGTGGCATCAATTTCCTCCAGTTTTGTAGCCAAGTCCGGTACATCCAGCAAACTTGACAATGGCAAGCATAGATTGAATCTGTCTTCTTTTCTTCGATTCAAGAAATTATAGAAAATAAAAATTATATATACACTTCACCCTCAACTGATGTTAACTTCAGCTCCACAAGGAGTCTTGGACAGTCGTCTTGCCTATTGAAACAAAACTTCAGATAAGCACCTGAAACTGGACCTCAAATGGTAGCAGCCTGGTCAATTCATTTCTGAACCCTGTATGTAAATGACACTGCATAATTGATGCTTAAGAAACGAAGGTCTAGTAGGAGCTTGAATGTGAATATCACCATGAATTAATTGCTTGACCAAGAAAGTGATTCAGAAAATGATGTGGTCGTGATGATTATGGCAATGTTAATGGTGAAAATCAAGGAAACAATGGTGTGATGAGTTGTCTGATGGCCTACGTGCCCTACATCCCTACTAGAGTTGCACCATGATATGGAACTCCTACTGACTTCAAATTAGGCAAAAGGTCAGATGAAATGACTAAACCTTACATGTGGATGCTCTTAATAAACAAGAAAATCCATTTAGATCAATAGCTACATACTCATACACAAACAAAAAAAATATTGGACTAATGCACAGGCACACACCCTACAAATGATAGCAATATCTGAGCCCCTATTAAGTAATCCAGGTACTTAAATCTTCTGAGTTCTGATAAATGCATGTCCCATTAGGGGCTAGCTAGAGTAGCATGCTTCCAAATGGAATGTTTGTGACAGCAATATGAGTATTCATTCCCATGGAGATGAAAATGCTGATGACTTGATATGAAATGGATCATGGATGCATGCAACTGCTGCAAGATGCATCCTATCATCTAGTGCTTGTATTTGTCGGAGCAAAAAGAACAGAGTACATCCCCTTCGTGCTACTGGTATGCCATAGCTTGTGGAGTTCCATTGACACTGGGTGCGGAGACAGGGTAGGTAGCATCTTTCCTTTTCCCAAATGGGTTCTTTGAAAATGTAGTCATGAGTCAAGAGAAGAAACATTTATCCTCAATCATGAAAGCAACGATAAATGAAGTAATATCTAGTTCAAAATGCTTTGCAATTAAGTCTGGTTGAAAAAATCTCACATATGTAGTCAAACATCAACAAAAGTTAACTTCAATGTTTGAAACTTTGAAATTAAAATCAATGGTTAATGTGAATAGTTGATAGCAAATGGTGTAGGCAATCACATTCAGCAATCAATACATGTATTTAATTTTTAGAAAAGATTATTTATAAACAATTTTTTTTAAAAATGTACTCTTTAACAACCATCTGAGACAGGTATGGGACTCCAGTAATATATCCAGTTCGTTGTGGTATTAAAACATAAAATAAACCTATCCAATAAAATACCTCAAGCGCAACAGACATGATAAACATTTACTAAGTCAAGATGACTAGCAGCACTTACAAATTCAGGAGTCGTCTAAAATAAGATTCAGTGCATATCACCTCTAAGTAGCATAAGATATATCATTCACTCGGACACTTGCATTGTCAGGCAATAACGACTTCCAATTTACAAGTACCAAAGTGACAATTATGATCATTTATAAGCAGCATCAAGCAAAAAAAAAAGGTAAATAAAAGGATATTGTATTCTCATGCCCACAGAGCCAGAACTAGGTATAACAGCACCCTGCAAACTATGATGCACATTGGTGGCAGTGTTCACATCCTATTTAGGTGAAGCAGATAACCAAATTAGTAGGCATGAAAGAAAACACAGGTTGATAATCTTAACCTGAATACGACTTGTGAAGATCAAAGGATAAAAAGTCAACTAAAACCTACTTACTTCAAACTCAATGAAGCAGACCGTATGCCTTTCCTGCCTTAGAATCTTCATTTGCTTAAATCCAGGTTGTCTGCATTATATGCCATAAGCCAGAAGATCCAACAGCTTCAGAAGGTTAGGGTGATTCATAATGATAAAAACGATTTAGAAATTGTGCAAAGATGACTAGCATACACGCTGAAAAGACCTCCCAGCTCCTCTTCATTTACATTTTCCCCCAGATTGCCAATGAATAAGGTATTGCAAGGAGGATTATCCTTCGTGTTCTGCAGGAAACAGGCAGAAAATGAGATATTATAGTCTTCTTATACCTGCATGGAAATCCATGCAACATAAGTTCTTGTCTTTCCCGATGACATTAGGAGGTAATAAGATATGGCACTTCATGGTGTCTTCATGGTAAAAACTTCAATGGATATGTGGACCACACACAAATACAGATGCTGATTGGCAAAGAAAACATGGCAAGAGGTATAGACACAGCACTTACAAACTGAAACACCCACAAGAGTCATAATTATATGCTACATATATTCCAAAAGGATTACCTGAACAGGCACATAGCTGCTAGGTGCTGGTACAGGTGCAGGAGTAGGCATAGGTACAGGAGGAACAGGGTAACCTCCATATGGATCGTATGGAGGAGGAGGTGGAGCCATATACCTATATCATCACAAAACCATAAGTAACTTGAACAAGACAACTTTATGCCATTTGGTGCCGAAGGGTGATACAAAAAAAACACACACACACACACACACACACAAAGAATGTAAGCAAATTGAGGTATTTAGAAAATCCTACTCTCCTTTTCCATAACCATAAAACATCTCTGAAGTGACTATATGTACAACTGATTTTAAAGGGAAAGCAGTTTTCAGTTTCCGTAAAGAGAGGGCTCACCCATGAGGCCCCCACATAGGGGGTGGAGGTGCATGAAAAGGTGATGGGCTTGAATATCCAGTGTGGGCATAGTCACCACCAGTTCTCAAACGTTTACTTTGGTCATAAGCACTTGCATCAGCAACAATGCCTAATAAATACTGAGATTAGCTGACCGTGCAGAATTTTGTTTCTTTATATATATATAAATAAAAAAATAAAGTGTAACGAAGTGTTTATAGCTCGTAATCTTTGCACAACAAAAGAAAACGCTGAAGCTCATCTATAACTCCTGTAAGTATGTATGTGTGCATTATTAGAGGGCATCAAAATAACCTTGGTGAGTGAGAACTGAGAATGTTTGGAAAATCTTTATTAATCTCACATAGTAAATAGAAAAGAAACGAAATTATTGCATTGCATGGTAGTATGTAGAGCGTAAAGCAGCTTGAATAGCGACAATATGAGGCATTGTAAGTCAAGTAATGCGATCCAGAAAAGCATGATAACCCTCCCATTAAAGCTCGAAATAAATCTAATGTAACCCAACAAGAATTATAGAAGTGACTAGATCACCTCGTTTAACGAAAAGATTTTTCTTGGCCATCTCCGTGTGCAACACTGACTTAGACTCGGCATCAAAAACCATATCCTATACCAAAAAGATCAAAGTAACCAACACTTGAAGAGTTGGAAGAACAAACAAATTGAGAATTCAATAGAAACATAAACAAAACGGCAAGGTAAGAACATGAACCTGAAGGGCATCTTTAGCAGCAATAGCAAACTGGGCATTGGAGAAGAGAGCAAATCCCATAGGCTTTTCACCTTTAAAATTCACTTGCGAAGCCTCGTAACCAGGTAACCATCTGAGAAGATTCTGTAGTTCTCTCTCTCTTACATCTTCAGGAAGACCTGTTATAAATATAGTTCGAACCTAAAGCAACAAAGCATCAAAAAGTTGCCTTAGAGATAAGTTTATCAGCCAAACTGACAGACACATTAAATTAAGCTCCGAAACTAGGTATAACTTGCAGTTGTATCTTGAACTGCCTAAGATCCTAACTTCAGTATTGCCACGAAGAAGGGACGAGAGCAAGAGAGATGAGAGAGAGTACCTCGTCGGAACCATGGCGGCCGGGGTTGTCGACGAGGATCTGAGGAGGGTGTGGGCGCGGAATAGGAGGAGCGGCGGCGGCGGCTTGTGGCGGAGGCGGAGGAGGGGCGGCTGCCGCAGCAGGCCATTGCTGGTGGTACGGGTGGATTCCTGTGCCGGCCATGCTTAACCAGTGGAAGTGAGCGACTATGGAGGGCTACCAAAATTCTCCTTTCAACTTCTTGTTTGCATAAATTAGCTCGATTTCTTGGCCTCCTCCGCTCTGTGAATTGTGAATTGTGATACGGATTTGGAATATGGAGAAGTCCGGGAAAAACAGAAACCTAAGAAGAGAGGACGCGCGCCAAGCCCGAGCGTGGGTTTCAGACTGTCTCAAACTCATCCCAAGCCCATTGGGCTTCCTGCCCAAACCAACCAAACAAATAAGGATAATTTAGAGGAGCATTCATGAGACCGAACCGCTCGTGCATACCTCGACTAAGGAAACTCGTAAAAGGTATATGACCACCATGATTTGAACTCATTCCCTCTCGATCCTTTGCTATTTACGTTAGTCCTTAATTCTTTTTTTATTTATTTATTGACCTTTATTGACCACTAAATCATCACAGAGTGATTAATTTGAAGATTAATTGTCTAAGATATATTTGTATTCACTTCACTTTTTATATACTAAAAGTTTGACTATTTAAGATTATTTTAAACATAATAGTTAGTAAAAGCTTAGAATCTAAACTTTTTTTTAGATTTATTTAGAATCTAAATTGCCAGATGGATATGGATGGACGACATCATCTTGAAAAGTAGTATTAGTTGTGATATATATTTTACGTTCGTGCGTGTATATATATACAAAAAATTATTGTGCAATGGTGGTGATTTACATTAATTAACTATAATTAGGGGTGGTTTATGTAAATTGCACAAATTAACGAGCGGTGATGAGAAGAGATAAAGTCACAGAGCAGTGACAGAAAAACGAAATTGATTGGTCACAAGGCTCTTAATTTTGCCAATGAAGCGGCCATGGCCATGGCTGTGACCACTGCTTCTTTGCTCACTCAACACTGGTCGAAACAGAGAGCTAATCATACTCCCCATACTCTCTGCAGTGTACTTCAAGTATTTAGCAGCGCTTCGATCTTGTTCTACCAAAGCCTCGAAATTCTTCATATAAACAGGCACAATTGCCTGCACTAAAAGCAGGCAAATTCTCTCTCTCAAGCTCTCATCTGATATTACCCACTTTGATTGCCTCTTACATGTTTGTTCAAATGCCTCAGAGAACTTCCTTAGCCTTTTCTTCAACAGATCGTTATATTCCGCTCTCTCACCTTCAAATGGAAGCTGACCCTTCTGATTTACAAGACTTAGAAGCTCTCCCCAGCTTTCTTTCAGGTAAAGCGCTGCGTAATATTCCTTGTATTGGTTGTGTGCGTCTAACCAATCATCCCCCATCATTTCACCCAGTTTCGTACCTTTCAGATTGCTAAAATGGCAGTGGTTGTTCATCATGAAGTAGTAGGACTTTGAGATATCTTGGTAGGCCTTTGCCCATGCATCTAGATTTAGAGCAAGTTCTTTTATGATCATGTAAATCTGGTTCTGCGGAAGGTCCTCCTGATACGTCTCGTGATTCCAGCTTTGATGGATGATTAGAACCTGGTTTAGGATTGGTTTGTAATGGTTTCCAAGCAGTTTGTTGCAGTAATCAGTGACAAAGCTTACCAAACTTGGAACGTCGCCATCTACTGGAGGACAACTCTGTCTTTGCAATTCAACTTGAATTGGAAGTTCCGAGAAAACCTCACATACTCCATTTACGACTTGTTTTACGAGATCCCTTGTTGTAGCTTGAATCTCTGTGCAAGCTTTCCCACCGAACAGCTTGTTCATGTCTGTCCTTAAGTTGTCTAGAACCAAGAAAATGTCTAGTAGGTTTAGGAGCTTGATGGGGTCCTTCTTGGTTTGGGCAACTTTTATCCCAAATTGGAGGAGAGAAAGAAAGCCGGATTGTGACACAATCCTAGTGAAACATTTGATCCTGACGTCGGTTTCAATTGTCTCGAATATGTCATTGCAGAGTTTATATTCAGGCTCATATAAATCCTTAACAGCAAGCTCAAGATGCTTGCTCCATCGGTTTATATGATCTTCAATGCTTTGCATATTGCTCAAGTCATCGATTGACGTCTCGAGATAATCCAAACCAAGAGTTTGTAAACTTTGCCCAACATTTAAACTCCGAAATTCAACATATATTGATATGCAATTATTGATCCGATTGTTGGCTTTCAGTCTAGTAAGAATCAACTTCAGTTCTTCAACTACAGATTTTGGTGAGGAACCGATGAAGGCTTGGCTTTCATTGGTCAACAACACAGGACCCAGATGAAGCGAAACACTGTGATCTCTCAATAACTTCCTGAATTCGAATTCAAGCTTGTTCAATGCAAAACTAAGAGGCCCTCCATCAACACGAGCATTATCCTCAACAGCCTGCAACTCCCGAAGAACTATCAATGAGTTTTTGACATTGAGAAGACACTCATCAGTGACTGCTCCATTGTCTTCAACGAATCGAACAATTCCCTCCAACCACTGAATTGTAAGACTGCAGTTATCAGAAAGAAATTTAAGTGCTTCTTCAAACTGTTTCATAACAGAGAGGTAAACGGAGAGATGAGAACAAGAATCAGTCATGAGTGACTTCTGAAGTTCAGAAACAGTGTTGAGAACATTAAGAAGCGCGGCTGCAAGTCCAATGGTGTGATCTATCTGGGCTCCGACAGCGAAAGAGCTGCACTTCTGAATCTGAACGAGCTTGGTTTCCAAACTTGTGAGTCTTTGAGCCACGTCTCTCAATCTTGGTCCACCATTGGCCAGTGCAGATGCAACGTCTCTCGACTTTTCAAGGCTGGTTTTCAAGAGCTGCCTAGCTGCAAGAAGCTTCCTAGTGCCTTCCATTTCATCCATTGCCAACGAAGTTACAGGTTCAACTACTATTTGAGCCTTTATAATGCCTTACAACTTTTTTCCAGATTTGAGTTAAAAATTGTTCTCTGGTTTCTTGAATGTCACTCATTTCACTTTTTCTTCACCAAACTCAACAATCTGGGAAATGAAAAGGCTGCCATTTCAAACCAAACATCACCTGCAAAAAGGCAAACAATTCATAAATCTCCCACTCTCACCCTCCGTAGGACACAAGTTCTGAACAACTACCTTTTGTGTGTGCAAGTTTTAAAATGTCTAGCGGGGCCCACTAGCAAAAAAAATGGTTAGCAATGGTAGCTCATAAAAAACATACATACATTATTGTGTGTCTATTATTTTACTGTGTTGTGAAAAAAAAAAGTTACTTCTTTCATCGACTATGTTGGAGGAATTTGTTTTAACATTTTTAACATCAGTTAGGTATCTCCCAATAAGGCTTCAGATGCTTCTGTTCGGTTAATTTCGGTGTCAGATTTCAAAGGCCAGGCGCAAATTCTATGGTCCAATGCAGTAGCAGGGCTTCATGGAGAGTTTGGCATGAAAGAAACAGAAGAGTTTTCCATAACACAACATTCTGACAGCAATTCTTCTTGGGATCTTGTTAAAATTTTTGTTTCTGCTTGGCCTGCTATTACTATACCCTTTTGCAGTCACCAATTGGAAGTCCTTTTTGTAGCCTTTTGGTGGCTGAAGATTTCTCATCTCCTTTTTGTTCTCTCTTTTTGGTAATGAAAGTTCTGTTTCTTATTTCAAAAAAAAAAAAAACAAAAACATTGAAGCTGAGCTACCACCAGACACCAACTTGGTAACCACCCTACCCAACGAAGAACATAATATGTCAGTGGTAAAATGTGATGCCATGATCTCCAGGTTATTCCATATGAATGGGTTGTGACAAAACAAGGCTGGCAGGAAATCAGAGCCTGACCTTTCGGCCACCTGACTGTAGCTCCATATTTCACGTAGAATGGATCCCTTGTGTGTTCAATAAAAACATAATGCTTCACAGCCATCACTGGATTCTCTCACTTTTTCTTTTTTTGGGCCAATGCATTACAAACATAAACCGTACTTCACTTTTCTCAAAAGAAAGAGTTGAATAAACCATTTGACTATTGCTTTTCTTGGAGTGGACGCGGACTGTAGTCTTTGATCATCAAGATTTCCGCACACAATTTACGTGGCACCTGCTCCAGAGCTTTTCCTTCTTGCCATGCCTGCCCAACCAACACTCCAGGTCCCAGATATCGAACGTACATTACAAGCTGATCGTTGAAAGGATATGGATGCTTGACTGCAAAGCGAAAAAGGATAATATGCAAATCATTAAATTTTACAAGTCCCGGAACCAAACAAATAATTAGAACTTAATCGAGGGAAACTTGCATTAGTTTCTGATGAATAAATACATAAGGTTGATGTTCTTTCTTTTGTAGAGATCAAGAGACTGAAGAGCTGGAAAAAGAAGCGAGGTTATTGCTAAATTACATATTTATTCTCATATTTATGTAATTTAAAATTGGTAGTGTTGAAAGCAAGTGTGCTTGCCAGGGGAAACACAAGCAAAAAAAATAAGATAAAAACAAAATATTGAAAAACTTGGAAAACAGAGGGAAGCATGTTGCATGGGAGATATCATTTCAATATCATATGAAATGCACTTAAGAAGGATATAAAAAACCTCATATAAAGAATGTCCACCATCCCAAATTCATGAGAAATTCATGAGTGTAACTACAAAGACAAACGTGACAAACCATGTCATAAGTCTATAGTTCTATTCCTAATGGTACATTCTTTTCTATAAGAAATCGAGCTTTATTTAGAGAAATAAAAAGAGATATATAAGGTCATACAAGAAGACAGCCCGATAAAAGAAAACCCTTTAGAGAAAGAGGTTCCAATCCGAAAGCAGTTTTCTTTTCATTATTTAGAAGTTTGTATCTCGTTAAAAAAAACATAGTGGGGCTTATGTTTTTTAAAGGTAGGAAGGAGATCCTGACCTTGCAACTCCCTGGTGAAAACATAAGATTGAGTTGAAATTGTGTCAAGGAAAAACTAATACATTTGATATTATTTAATCAAATGTAAATGAAGGCATAAAAATGATTTCAATATCATACCTGGAGTCGGAAAGCCTTCAGGGTATTCATGAATATTAAAAAGCCCATCCCCAAATTCATATGCCAAGTCACAAGGCTGTTCAGTTGACATTACTTCCTTAAGTTGTTTCACCTCAAAGTACAATGGAGCAAAGGAATTTGCTAATCCAGCCAACAAGGAAATTCCTGATTTGTGAATGTTAAATGTTAACGGCATTAAAAACACAAGGAAATTTTAGTGACTATTGTTGAAGGCTTGAAACAAGAATCTTGAAATCCGAAGCATAATGGTCAATGCAGAAACAACATCCAAGTTTGATCTTGGTCATCATTTGTGATTGTGCAACTGCAAATAATTTAACATCCTAACAAATGATCTTGGTTTACGGAAAATCTATAGTTTCATTGAGTTATTAATGTCCATATGAGGAGAATAATATATAGTTTCCAAAGGCTAAGAGTTATTACCAATAAATCGCCCATAAGTCTTTCCATCCTTGCAAGAAAATAATGCCTAACAAACAAGATAATGTAAAGACATAGACTATATTGCACTGTACATTCGAAAGAAGAAAAGGGACAAAGACTTGATAATTCTCACCTTCTTGAAATGATTAATCCAACCAATAGGTATTTGACCTGTTCATGACATTCAATATAAAAGTTGTTAGTCTAGCAAAATATATCATAATTACGAGCAAACGATTATAATAAAACATTGAATTTATAAATATTAAATCAATTCCCATAATAACCACCATTATCATATTTCTCCCCTTTTTGTTCTCTCTCAATCATTTTCCTCACCCAGTAAAAGGTATCTTAGAAATTAGAAAACAAAATTTGCATGCTTCCACATGTTAACCTAAAATATGTATATTATAGGGAAAATAATGTAATGAATTACTTTACCTCCACTTTTTATGCAGTTATAATATTCAAGCACCATACCATCTCCATTTTGCAGCAAACCAGAAGCAGTTTTCTTAACCAGCTTTGGATCCTCATATCGTGTGCCAGCTATCCCCCAGGCCCTTGATATACACCTGCATTATATTGCTGGTGTTAGGATTTCCAAAATTCTAAAAAACAACTTAGGAACTAGAATCAGTTACTGCTAAAATAGTTCCTAATCCTACCCAAATCATAAACTATTCAAGTTAAGGGAAATTGCACTAATGGAGAACAAGAAAGAGCATAAACAACCATACAGGTTACAGTGCTTCGTATATATAACCTAGGGCTTAGGAGTTGCAAAAGTCTATGACGTCGTTCCTCAGGAATAGCTTCAATTTTTTTCCTGTCAATCAAAAGAGACAATTTCAAATTGAATTAGGAGCAAACTACTTGAGAATCAACAGCAACACAAGACGAACGCCCATAAAAATTAGTACCAAAGATACGCAGCAGGATTATAAGAAGCGGGGTTTAATGGTATGAGCTCCTTGGGAGGATCTAGAATGGTGACTACATCTTGTTCGTCCAGGTACGGAATGGACTCGTAAGGCTCCTCATTCCTTCCTCCGGCTACGGCGGCGACCACACAACCAGGCGGCCGTACACAAACTCCATAACTGAACAATCCCATTCTCAGCACGGAGAAATCAGAAATCGTACAGGGTTGATTTCTGAAACCTGGAGGGGAGAAAGAAGTGTTAGCATCGGGAAGAGAAAATGTGTAGGGGAGCAGATAGAAGAAGATGAACTCACAATTGAAGTTCGTGAAGCAGATACGCCGCCGCGATTGGAAGAAGATGCTGCTTTGGCGGGAAAACTGTGGGTGCAGGGCTAGGGCGCGGTTCGAGCCTGCCGTTGCCTTCATTTTGTTCTTTGCCCCTCAATTCCACGATTCTGCCGATCAAGCGGAAAAAAAAAGGAGGATGCGCTGACATGTCATCTCCACGGTCCTTTAGGATAAATCAATATTTACATTGTATTAAAGAAAAATCAATAAAATATAAAATATATCAACAAACTACTGTCAAAACGAGCATAACGAGCATGATTCAACGATAATTTGTAGAGAATCGAGCCAAATTAAAAGAAAGAATGAAGGGGCTTAATGGGCTTAAATACAAAAAGCTCAATACATTTAGATTACTTCTCATTGAAGTTTAGTTATATAATTTTTATGTAAAATTATTATCCTTGCCCCCATTATTTTAACAACCCCAAGAGAGTTTTTTTAGTGAGATTTCATACAAAGGGTCATCTTCTTCGTGAGTTTCAATGAGTGTTTTTTATAAAGGGTCGAGTCAATGAAATTTTGTGAGAAATTTTATGTTCAATCTCCATCGAAGAGTTTTAGAAGCTTGTAAGAGTGATTCGTGAGCATTTTTCTTTGAGAGAAAAGTGAAAGAAATCATTGTAGAGCGCTTATAAACTCTTAAAGATTCTCCTGACATTTAGTGAAACCTGCAACGATAGCAGAGAACTGGACGTAGCTCACATTGGGTGAACTAGTATAACTCCAGTGTCAATTTCTCTTTCATATATTTTATTGTTCTTATTGCTTGAGATTTAGGTTGATTTATCCACTCTTTGAGCATAGTTTCGATTTGATTTATTTCTGTTATAATTGGAACCAGAACCCGATCTAGGATTAGTTAGCATATATTGTCTAGAATTGTGATTGAGATAATATTTGTTAGCTTGTTTTATCCCTAACATAATTGTCATATACCTCCAAATAATAATCTCCAACTAAAAAATTGTGAGTTGGACACCCCACTCCACATGGTGTACTAATATATATACTAATATATATATATATATATATATATACACTAAGAGGTTGCAATTTTGACTCCTTACCCCCACATGTTGTACGTACGTGTATGTATATATATATTATTTTTAACTTATTTAGGATAGAAAGAAATTATTTGTTAATTTAAATATTTTTTACGATTTTTAGTTTCTCCAACTTTTACATAAATATTCATTGATATCGACATTTTATTGATATTTTCATGAAATTTAGACTCAGATATGTTTCAATCAATAATGACATTTAAAACATTGATTCTCTCCTCCCAGTTCATTTCAAGAATAATAATGTTAGTTTTTAGTTTATTGTTTTTCTATTTCTTTTAAACAAAAACTATATGTTTAATAAGTATTATTTAAAAAAATAGAAAATCAAATATATTTAATAACTATTTTTATTTTATATTTTTAAAAAGTTACAGAGTTAAAAGATGTTCTAGGTAGATTAAATTAATATCATAAATTTAAAAAATATATAATAAAAACCTTACCAAGACAACAAATAAAAACAAACAAACAAATTAAACAGCTTGCACACACACCCTTTCTTCTATACTTGGCAAGTTGCATATACACTCTCAAGCATCCATAAAACTTTTATATTATTTTGAAAATTGCATTTCATGAATTTTAATATAATTATAATTTAAAATCAACTATTAATAATAATTAAGTAAAAGATATATTAAAAATAGATACTATATTAATATAGGCCAAAATGATTGTGTAAACGTCTCTCGTACCTGTTTTATATTTGGGGTGATGGTAGATAAAACATTTTATTGATTGTATTATATAATAATGTTTTTGGGCTGAATATGAAAACGAGACGCTATATTTAATTATTGAGATATTTTTTAAAAAAGAAGCGCCAAAATATTATTAGGAAATCCTACCAATTAATTTCTCTTTTTTTTTTTTTTTTACTTTTAAGTCTAACCACACGTGGAGTAGAAATTTAAACCGGGAGATAAATCTAACCAGCAAATTGCATAAATTAAGGTGATAGTTACTGTTACACCAACCGAACTCTTAAGTATACTAGTGTTAAACCACTAAGCCTGTAAAGTGTAAATATTTGTTGTATTTCGTATAATATATATATCCTTTTATTTATTTTGAACCGTATTATCCTTTTATTTAAAAACTGAAGCAGCAGCCAACCAGGCATGAGGAAAGCGTTTTATAATATAATAATCCCTTCAGTCATAAAGCTCTCTGAATTAAGTTAGAAGTTAGTCCTGCCAACATGACTTAAAATATTGTCTTTGAATTCATCTCTGGTAATTAAAAAACAATAATATTGAATTGTTCTGCTATTTTTCCGAGGTGTAGGTTCATAATCCGAAGACATTATGAACTCAGCATGTGATTCAAAAACTCGGGAATAAATTTCACTGTAAAAATTTTGGAAGACCTCTGTCACGTGTTAACGTTATAAGTAACTTTCTGGATCGATATAAATAAGGATAGCTCGTTACGCTAGTCGAGCCGATCTACATTTTACCTATTGGCCGATAGACTATACGTACAAATCGACTTTGAAGAACACCGGCAGGCGCGAAGACAATGAAGATGTTCCCCAACACTACGCCACGTTTCTAGAAATGTCGAATAGTCATTAGAACATTGTTGGAAGTCCTGTCCGTGTTCATCTCTATAAATAGAGACTCATTCCTCCTACGCAAGGTACGCAAAATTATTCTCATTGTCAGCAGTAAATCAAATTGTGTAYTGACTTACTTGCGGAGTAATAACCATGTCTTGCAAGTACTTCGAACTTCAATACACCTTATTCGAGCTTCACAGATTTTGAACTTGGTCGATTATACAATCAAACAGAAGCATTCAGGCCTGCAGTGCAAACAAGTGAAGCTCGGCCCACTCCCCACGCCACATCATTGACGACGATTGATGAAATCAGATCAGTAATGGAAAGCGAAAATTAGGGCATTTGTTGAGGTTGAACATTTGTTGATGTTCAGTCAACTAAATCAGCCAGTCGGAGGAAAGCGACGGCGCAACCCGACCAGGATCAAGCTGACTTGGGCTGCTCTAATTAGAATCAAATGGAAATTCAGGCCAACTTCCAATCAATCACTACAACTACATTTTCTTCAAATAACAAAAAGAAATTTGAAAGTGGGATTAGTCCGCTATGCAGATTCATCCATTTCACACCAACCCAAATCCCTTGTCCCCACCATATATTGTATTTCTAATTCCTAATTCTTCAAAACATACCTATTCTATTTCACCCATTAGTCTTTAAAAGAATAAAAACAAAAAAGAAAGTAAATAGTTTCGTTTGTCGTCATCGTTATTTTCCCGTTTATCTACGACAACAAATAACATACTCAAAGCGTATTTGGTAATTCAAATTTCTCATTCTACTCGTTGTATTGAAAAAGATAAAATAAAAAAATTAACGGCCATATCTAAACTTTTTTAAAATTTAAACTAAATCTAACCTAAAAAAGGGCTGAAGTTTTTTTTAATTTAATTGATTCAATTTAACTAATTAAATATGTTTCATTTTTTAGTGATAATAAAATAAAATAACTATTGTCGTCAAAGAGAAAAGAAAAAAGTTTCATCCATTTCTCCTAAGCATGTATCTAATGGATCCACGCACTTAAAAGCCCTAATTTTGCCATTTTTACTTTGACAGGATGCCAAATTCATATAAAATGGTACCATGAATTTCTTCCCATAAAATATTAATGAAACAAAGCAGAGAACAATGATTAGAAGATGAAGGAATGGTGTCGTGAAGGCGGTTGGAACTCAAGTCAAGAAATTGTAAGAGGGAAATACCGATGAATCTCCACCAAGATTGTATTGGAGAAGTTGTTGCTCTCGAGCTTGAGATAGGCGAAGAAATTAGAGGTTGGTGAGCACGCTTAATTGGGTTACAACTTACAACAAATCCAAAAAAGTGTTTAAAAGGAGAAAATCCAATGCATCATGAGTCAGAATTTAAAATTAAATATAATCACGGATCGAATTAAAATAAAAATATATATTAAATTTATTTTCTTTAAAGTTAATTTTAGTTTAAATTTTAAGATTTTATTTTTTATATACTTTTAAACTAGTTATATATTTTTTAGATAGATTTAGTTTAAAGTTTGTTTTTTTTTAGTATTTGAGGACCGATCGGTGTCGTTTATACAGGACATAAGAAATTTTTTTAAAAAAGAAAAGACAGGTGGCCTTGTTGTTTCTTGAAAAGCCAACGGCCCATTGACAAACACATTATTTTCTAAATAAGTTTTGAATATGAAATATTTAAAAAATAAGTTTGAAAATTAGTAATAAATATATAATAAATAAACCGATTTTTAACATCAACAGGAATCTCGTTCCAGTAATTAAAAACTAAATATTAATATTGAAAAAAAAATGATTGAACTGAATTGGGAATGGCAATAGAGTATTAAAAAAAGTAGTATATTTTATTGCAATTAAAATAATGAAAATATAAAGAAGAGTCGGTAGGGTAGGCGCAGACGATGACTTAAGGGTAAGACAAAATCAGTGTCAGAAATCTCAAACTTTAGGAGAGGTTTTGAACTCTAACCCTTGATCTCAGGCCCGATAAACATGCAATTTGTTTTTTCTTTTAATTTAATTACTAATTAATCTTCCTATCCTACCCCACCTTTACTCTTTATTTCTATAACCAACCAATCATTGAGTACCACCTGGCAGGTATCTTGACCTCAAACCGCCAATCGAATTTTTTTGTATTTTAATTTTGATAAATATTTAATACTGTCCCAAAAAGTAATAATTCATGTGACTTTTTAAATTAAAGAAATATCCAAAATTGTAATTGCACTTATAATAATTGAAAAGCAATATATTCTTAGTCCATTTTTAAGTTTTCGCCCTCACATTTTGTAATAATATTATAATTTAAGAAACATATGTAAATAATGAGAAAATATAAATACATTTTGAAATTGTCGTTGTATATTAATTAGTTTGCAAGCTACAAATCAAGGTAAAAGGCGAAAAATCTTTAAGAAAAAAAAAAGGTAAAAGACAGGAAAAAATTATAATATTGCCATAATACTAATCTTCTTTATTACCTATCAATATAGGTTATGCAAGTTTAGCCATTGATCGATGAATCTACTTTATTAGTAATATTTCTCAATGTGATATAATAAAAAAATATAATAATATAAATATATTTTTTATTGAGTACAACAAATATGAGGATGAGAGACTGAACCTTCAACCTCTAAAAAATAGCATGGTATCTGATGAGTTATGTTCATGTTGACAATAATATATACTAAAATAAAAAAAAATTCTTAACATTCAAATGATATGTTATAAAAATATATTAGATTGGAGAATCGAACTTCAACAAATTAATATATATGTATATAATTTGAGAGTTCGAATCCCGGAGCCAGTAACCTTGTAACGTGTATTTTTAATTTTTGGTATTTTACTTGTTATGGACAATAATTATTGAGTTGGTAAAATCTAAAATCAATAAGAATGTAGATCCACTATCCAATGGTTGGGAGGCACGTCAGCAGATCCCCAAAATTGGCCAGAAATCTTAATTTTTTTTGGAAAAGAAAATAAAAAACAAAAAAGAAGCCTTACAAAAGTAAAAAACGAAAGAAAAGAAAAGGAAAGCGAAGACAGAGAGTTTAGAGGAGCAGTCAATTTTGGGAGGGAAGTGTCGGTGCTGCCGCTGCGTATTATAAAGATAAATAATAGTGCGCAGAAGAAGAAACAAATCACAGAGACTCAACAGGAGAGAGAAACACAGAGGATTGAGCAGCAGCAGCAGCAGCAATTGGTCTCTGTGATTCAACCAGCGGAATTCGTCAAACTTTCCATTTTGGATTTCCCAAGTAATCGAGGAGAGCTCTCAATTCAATGCTCCATTGATACCTGCTTAATCTAGAGCCAGAGGTTTCTTCCTCTTCGTCTACAGAGCAAGAGCAAGATCTCTGAGCAGAGAGAAGCGGCAATGGGGGTGGATCTGAGACAAGTTTTGGCTGGCATACTCACACTCACTATGTTCGTCATGCTTGGCCACATGATCAAGCGTGACCATTTTGATTCCGTCCAAGTACATCCTCTAACCACCATTTCTTTTTCGATCTGCCGTTATCTTCCATTTTCTGTTTGCTTTATTACCTCAAGATCTTATCTCTGTTTATCTCCAATTCATATTTGCTGTTTTATTGTTATTGTTTTGATTCTTGTCAAGTTTTGTTGCAATCTTGAGCTTAATCATCATTCTTTCTCAAATTCATGGGGCTTAGTTCTGTAATTCATGTGTATAAGTAGCAGTAGCAGTAGCACCATACCGTCTCTGCTTCTGCGAGCAATATAAATTTAAGGATGGATTAAATCTGCCAGTATAATAAAGCAGATTTTTCCTTCATATGTTTGATTGATTGTGTAATTTTTTGCTCCTGACAAATCGAGTATAAGTAATCGGAATCCTAGTTGATTGCGTTCTTTCTTATTTTTCTTTTTAAGGAAAAATTTCCAGGGGGAACGAGGGATGTTACCAAAGTTGCAAAAACAATGCACGGCCACCCTAAAAAAGGCGATGCTCCGTGGAAAAATGATGCTCAAGAGCTAAAACAATGTTGGAATAAACCCGAATTTGGTTAGTAATCTATCCAATTTTGAAAATGATTGAAAGTTGACTGGCGTGTTTACCATTCTTTTAATCGTCTCTTATCCTGCCCATCCACTCATTACCCTTTTTGGCTTGGCAGCAGATGAGGGACAGCAACCAAAGGGATACGTCACTTTTTCATTAACCGATGGTCCTGAATACCATGTCTCACAGGTACCCAATTAAATTATTCGATTCAATTGGTTTCTGTCTAGCTTGTTTGTCATTTTTCAATGTAAGAAAGAAGTTAACTCGGATTTTTGTCATGGTTGTGTAATCCTAATCCATAGAGCACTGCACGTTATGAATGAAGTTCATGTTATTTTTTATGAAGTAATTCCAGCGTAATAATCGAGCTTCTTACCCTACAATTCCCCGTCTGTCACATTAATCTTTTTGTTCTTCTCAGATCTCGTACTAATTATTGTCGTCTCTGCATTGTCTTCATTCCTTTTACTATATGTTCTAATTGATGTTTACTATATGTTCTATTTCAGATTGCAGATGCAGTAGTTGTGGCTAGATATCTAGGTGCGAGTCTTGTTGTCCCAGATATCAGAGGGAAAAAGCTCGGAGATAAGTGGTAAGTTCTAATGAGGAAAATCTGAGCAAAGAATAATTCCCATGTGGTTATACTTGTATCTGGTTTTACAGGAGCAAGATCCTCTGCTCTGTCTAAAGGATCTTCATCTCTACTTATACTGCCTTGGAATTTCCTATTTCTTCACTCCATATTCGTAGATATGTGCTTGTATACACTGCCTATCAAAACCTGTTTAGTAATTCTGGAGTTGAAACCTGACATAATCGTTATCTTCCAGGAGCTTTCAGGATATTTATGATATTGAGAAGTTCATTGGAAGCTTGGATGGAGTTGTCAGAGTAGTAAAAGAGCTGCCGTCTGAAATATCTCCCAGAAAGCTCTCGGCTGTCAAGGTGCCGAATCGGGTTACAGAAGATTACATTTCGGAACATGTTGAGAAAATTTATAAAAGAAGTGGCAGCATAAGGCTCGCAACTTACTTCCCTTCAGTAAACATGAAAAAGGGTCAATCAAGTGGTGACGATTCAGTTGCATGTTTGGCAATGTTTGGAACATTGGAGTTGCAGCCAGAAATAAGTGAAGTGATTGAATCCATGATTGAGCGGCTGAAAACTTTGAGTCGCAAGTCCAATGGTCAGTTCATAGCAGTAGATTTGAGGATTGAAATGTTAGAGGAAAATGGTTGCCAAGGTGGTGAGGCAACCGGAAGTAAAGGTTGTTACAGTGCACAAGAAGTAGCTTTATTTTTAAGAAAGATTGGTTTCAACAAAGATGCAACCATATACTTGACTCAACCAAGATGGGATAACAGTCTTGATGATCTCAAGGATTTATTTCCAAAAACTTACACAAAGGTAGCTACAAAAATTCTTTCGAATGACTTTTAGTCCTCTGCTGCCTTTTCTTACATATTGTTTTGATTAGAATTTGCAACTCTGCGACCAAACTATGAATTCTCTCTCTTTCTGAGAATTGGGCATGAGTTTTTCCCTACCATTTTTGCAGGAAAGCATAATGCCTGCGGATAAGAAGGCAAAGTTCTTGAATGCAGAGAGTTCTGAATATGAGAAAGTGATTGACTTCTACGTTTGTAGTCAAAGTGATATATTTGTTCCAGCCATCTCTGGCCTCTTCTATTCCAATGTTGCAGGCAAGAGGATCGCTTTGGGCAAGAATCAAATTATTGTTCCAGCCACCATTCGAGAATCTACTGCTTCTGCTACCAATTTCATCTCCTCTTACATCTCGAAGAAGAATCACTTGGCGTATTCATGCTTTTGCTAGGCGCTTCACCAAGAAGGTTAGTAAAGACACAACTGTATCGATATCGATCTCTCATTTGCATGCATCGAGCTTTGTGGCATGGCAGATGGCAGGCCAATTGTATTGCATATGTTTTCATTTTCATTTTGTTTTTATGCGTCGTAAACAGAAGAATATTTGTTAAGGTAATTTTCAAGACGTGCAGAACGATTAAGATGTCAACTATTGTTTGATAAAAGGCTTCCATTTTAGAGTAATGAGATTGAGAAAGCTATTACATTTTGTGGCATTGGAAAAAAATATTTGTTAAGCTCCAAGTCTTGCCCATTCCTCTAGATTTTGGTTTCTTTTATTATCACTCGTGGAAAAAATATGAATAAAGTTCCTCCTCTTTCACACTCTCCATAACTGGAAATATTTCAAAAGAAATAAGAGAAGATTCTTCCTCATTCAAAACTCATCTTCTTTGCACAAGTTGCTTCACAATGTAGTAACAAGAGTGAAGATACATAAAAGGCAAATATATAAAATTGTTCAGAATCTGGAATTCTTCCTCCAAAGGATATCATCAGTCAGTCACTCCGAGTATCATCGTCGTCAGCCGTAACGGTAACAATATCGAGCAAGATTTATAATTTCGCTTTTATTTCCAGGGTTAGCAAGGTAAGGTACATTTGGAAAAGGGCAGTAGCAAGGTAAGGTACATTTGGAAAAGAGCAGTCTGATGAGTAACTTTCAGCATATATCTTTTAACTTTTGAGTAAGCAAGCAATGGAGATACGAAAATTATTGGATTTCTTTAGGGAAAAAAAAAAGCATTACTAAGAAAAACAATTCTTAAATTAGAATTAATGGCATCATTCTACATTTTCAATGATCACTTCGTAAACTGAACATCACGAAGTTTCACTATTCATACTATTTTTTCATTTTCAAGACACTGCATCCCAACAGTTTCTTGTACTTTTATTGCATTTTAGAGGTGTGATGGAATCACCGCATGAAAAGTTATTTGAGACTTTAAAATGTGAGATCTTGAAGATGTTGAATTGCACTTACTCACATTGTTCGTGAAATTATTGGTTAAAACATTTAGTCTCGACTTTTGTAGCGTTTTGGTCCCTTTTTTAAAATCGAATTAGTCCTTATACTCTTGGAAATATAACATTTGATGTTCAAATTACATGAATAGGCAAACACTTCAAACCACCTTTAATTTAAATATAAGCAATATGACTTGCTTCATTCATTTGCTCATACTATATCTGAAGTTTCAATTAAAATCCTAAGAAAAATCTAACTTACAGACTTGATTATTAGATTTATGAAGGTACAACGACTAAATTACTGCAAGTAAAAAGGTTTACGAGGGCCTAAACACGATGATAGCTCAAGGATAGATTAAAAATATATTTTAGCCTGAATTATTTAGAGATACTAAATTATGAGTGGTCTTTGGAAATAATGCTATTTAAAGAAAAAAGAAATCCCCAAATTAAGTAGCACGTGAGCTTCTGTATCATTGAACTGACTTTGTGAAGTATTTAGCCAATGGGGTGTCCGGAACTGGAATAAGTTTGCCAACAATCGCCAGTGGCCAACTGAAAGGAGATAACATAATTTAATAACCATGTCCATGTGGTATGGTTGCTCATTTAACAATGTATTAATCGGTAATCGGACAACCCAAAAATGCAGAAAAATAAAGTCAATTATGACTTCATTAAAGGAAAAAAATAAAAATAAAAAAACTGTAATCAAATGAAAAGTTAGGGCCAACCTGACAAGGGCGATGACTAAGCAGATAAGCCATTGCTGCCAATCGAGTTTTACTGTGGAAGTAAACTTTCCAAGAAATTCGATGATGATAATCTGCATTGCAATTAAAAAATATTGAACCAACAAAGAAAAGGCCTATGAATGAATGAATCGATGAATGATAATAATACAATACAAACCTGAAGCACGAATGTTGTTCCAACTATGCTCATAAAGAGGTAATTTTTGGTCACTCCACTGAACACGTTTATTTCATCGGGTTTTCGAGCATTAAATTCGTTGAATATCTGTAAAGGACAGTATGTTTTTGTTTAATATAAGGACAAGAAGAGCCCAACATGAGCATATTTCAACAATAATTGACACTTGTCTTTGACTAAGAAGCCACGAGTTCAAAGAGTAGGTTACCTGACAGAGGACAAATGCATTGAAAACCACTGTATTCTTGACTTCAAAGGCGTCCTCCTTGCTCTCACTATTCAATTTGAGAATATCAGTGCCATGGAAGTTGACAACAAGAAGTACACCAACTTGATACAAAGCCTGCACCAACAAAACAAAATAAGGGAAAAAGAATGCAAGGGGCCCCTGTATGATCAAAATAAGGGAAAAATAAACAAAATAAGGCATATGAGTTTCAAAGATACACATTGACCTACCTGTACGATCAAGTTCCTCCACATTATATTAGTTACGAGGGGCTCCCTGTAACCAACAATTACCATTGATCAGAAAAATAAATACCAACCGAAAAGCTGAACACCCAAATATGTCAATGTTGCAGATATTTTATCCGGACTACACCAACAAGATGTCCACGAATTGAATTTAGATCACGTTCTTGTTCGTAACAAGTAATTTGAAAAGGCTCGGTATGGTACTGCATATTCAGCATTCATTTTTACCTTCGCCCAACTGGTGATCGATGCATCAGGTGGTCTGTTGGTGGTTCAGTAGCCAGTGCTAGTGCACCAAGTGTATCCATGATAAGGTTAACCCAGAGAAGCTAACAAGGAAGACAGACATACATTCATTAATCAACATTTGAGAATCTTCAAAGACTGAGAGAAAAAACGCGATACCAACTCGTGTTATTTATCTTTCCTTTAAAGTAAAAAGCCCACCAGTACCACCGAAACATAAGGCCTAGGGTGCATAAGACACAAGTCACAACTTCACGAATTAATTTAAGAAAGATACCCCAGATGATATCCAAATTCAGAAATATATCTGAAATGAAGTTCCTAGAAAAAGTCTCTTGTGGTGCTGGCACAAATATAAGGGAAATTTTACAACAATCTTCATAACATTGTATTACTCTTTTGCTTACTCCAATTTAATTAAGAACTATATTCCGCCACCAAGATTCCAAAAGCTTAAGCCAATAGGTTATAGTGTATTGAATATGTTATTCTTATTTTTAACGCTCTAATCTTACTTGTGGATTTAAAAATTAACAAAAAGATCCAAAAAGTAACTATCAACATCGATTGGAAATGATATTGGTCATATGCTCTAACATCATGTTAAACTACTGCTAAACCACGATAAATAACAGTAAATTTAATATATTACTCGTATTCTTAACCTTCAGCAATTATCATTTATTGCATATAATGGTAAATTTAAACTTAAGCTGATGAATAACGATAAATTTAATATATCATTCATATTGAGTTTCCACACGTACTATAGCAATGCAATATGGACTAATCATTTCAAAAGGCACACAAATAATTGGTACAGGGAGAGGAGAAACCTGCACGGTATTTAAAGGAACTTCACCCGAAGACACAGCTGCAACGACATTAATCACAAGAGCAGCAACATTTACAGTGAGCTGAAACTGGATGAACTTTTGAATGTTTGCATACACAGAACGTCCCCACCTCACAACCTACATAGAATAGACAATGGAATCATGAAGAAATACTAAAACCTAAATAGAAAAAATGAGAACACAAAAAGAATATTCAACCTCCATGAAATTTGCTCTCACCATATCTCGTCACCATAAATTGGTATAAGCAGTGTAATTATAAACTAGCAAGTCAATTTTTCAGAATAAATGCATATATTTGGCAACTTGCATGTTCTTAGCTTTGGAAAGATAATATCTCAAGGCAGGATAGTGTAATAGATATGCTATTGTATAGACTGAGACATATATGATCTTCCTTAAGCACCAGATACAACCCAGATTATTACCCATTCACTTTGAGGTTGTTAGCTTCAGAACTACAAAGGAACACTAAATAAATTGCAGTAATTAAAACTGGCGAGAGGACGAGCGGCACGAACCTTTACAACTGAAGCAAAGTTATCATCCAAGATAACAATATCCGAACTTTCTTTTGCAACTTCAGTGCCCTGAATGCCCATAGAAAGACCGATATCTGCCTAGAATTCAAAAGGGTAAAAAATGCTATCAACGTGAAATGACTCGGTTAAACAGTAACAGAATTTCCCATGTAATATCAATCAAAACGAACCATAGAAGATGCAGGAAATATGATGGAACATATCAAGATTCAAGAGGGAGTCCTTCCTTAAAATACCCAAATAATAGTAAAGAATACAGAAATATGCATAGTATATCTTCAATCATCTGCAGTCCTACACGTCTGAACTATGACAAGAAAAAATAAACAAAGAATTACTCGCAGGTACTCAATCAAACAAGATTTCCATACTTCCAGTGGACATAATATCCCCTATGGATATAATGCTTCTTATATTATACGGATAACAATAGGCAGTATCATATTCCTGCAGCTCTCTAGTTCATACAACTTGTGTTTGCATGTTCTATATTTAGATATTAATAGTGCTATAATAAGCAACGCGAAAAACCTGACAAAAATGAAAGTTACAATTAATCTTGTCTTCTAAATTAAAGAAATATAGAATCATTTATCAAACTTGTGAAATAATAAAAACCACAAAGATTACGAACCTCGTGGAGTGCTGGGGCATCATTAGTCCCATCTCCAGTGACAGCAACAACTTCTCCGTCCTTTCGCAGTGCTTGAACAAGCAAGAGCTTGTCATTAGGCGAAGACCTTCCCATCACCTGTATGTCATTGCTTAGAGTTAACTCTCTTCTTCTTTTTATTATTATCTCCTTTTACAATAAACAAAAACTCCATCAAGGGGAAATAAAACAGCCTCAAGATGTCCCATTGATTGAAGTTAACTCTCAATGTATTGTTATTCTATGCTGTTCTATAGGCAAAACTTTATAGGTCGAACAAGATCAATAGCTAATGCATATCATATTTTTATGAAAGATATATGCAGTTCTAAGAATACCGTTATTTTCTTGGCAACTTGCTCTCTTTCCTTCTCAGACAATACACGGAATGCTTTTCCTTCGATGACTGTTGGCTCAAAAGCATCTTCAGTTGCGGTTAGTATTCCACACTCTAGTGCAATAGCCTTTGCAGTCTGCAGATTGTCTCCAGTGACCATGCGAACCTACAGATTTGCAATTGTATTATGTAATGTATGGATATACTAACATAATTCACATGCAAGTACATGCCCGACGTCAATTTTGAGACAATAGAGTAAAACCTAAAGGAACTTGAAAACAAAATATTGACTTTCCAAATCATGAATTAAAGAATTAAATCTAACTAGAAGAGTGCTCAATTACTTGAGAGTCAAAAAACAGCTCAAAGAAAACATAAATCTAAAGCAAGTCGAAGAAGTTTAACCAAATTCTTCACCATCTAAAATTTAGGGCTAACACAAAATAAAGAATGGAACTTACTCGAGAATGTGATGCATTTATACACCTTGACATGCACTCAATTGTTGCATGTAAAAGGAATCAATATTTATGAGATAAAAATAATACATAATAAGTTACCTTGACACCTGCAGCCGTGCACACTTCCACAGCCTCTTTAACACCAGGGCGACAAGGATCCTGCAACCAGATGACATCAATTGACTGTGAAAGATATGACAAAAAATAACCTTTGATATTTCAATAAAAATGGCAAAAAGGAAAAACATGACATTTCTAGTGACAAAATCAAAACAGATGACGTTGAAAAGAAAGGGGAAAACTAATATAAACAGGTCAATGCAGTAAAAAGAAAAACTCCTGCAACTAGAGATTTTGGGGCATGCAGAAGACGAGGAACATGAGTTGAAACATAGAAGAGAGAATATTGGCATCCCACATCCACAGTGAGTACTTCTAAGGTTCAACCATAGAGAACAGTGGACATCGTGCATAATGCATAAAACAAGAGCCATAGCAGTAAAAAATATGCTACTGCATTTAATTTCTAAGATGGAAAAATCCCTCTCTATCTTGAAAAATAAAATTCTCAAGAGTTCAGAAAAGCCCTCTAAAATGTAAAATATAGATTCTATTCCAGCAGTTACCTTTATACCAACAATTGCAAGCAGAACAAGATCATCAGCAGGCAAATCCCATTGATCCAAACGCTCATCATCTATTGGAACCTTCTCCAATTCATAAGATCTATATGCAATGGCAACGCAACGCAAACTTTTTGCAGCCATATCACTAATTGCTACCTTAAAATAATCCTGGGAAGGATATACATAAAAGAAGCTTAGTTTGAGCGTATGGTTTCAAAAAGTTCAAAAATAGAAAATGCACTTAAAAAATAGTAACGTTCTAATTTATATCGCCTTTCATGTTTCATTTCCCTAACAAATTATAAGTAATAATATGGTAAAAAGAACGAAAAATTTCAAGGAACTTGTATTGAAAGAACAAATTTTGGGTTACAAATAGATCAAAATCCAATTTTACATTACTAATGCATGGCATAATGAGTAACAAATAGTAAATGACTAAACTGTTTTTCGGTCCACCAAATAAACTCGAACATTGAAACTGTCTTGTTCCACAAGGTAGAAAGCAAATGAAAATTGAGAATCAGACATTTCCCCGAGGTCATCACACAGTATGCTTAATACTCCTGACCAGAGGCTACCATGATTTAAAGTTATTATATGGCTTTCCAATCTACCAAGTTTCATAATGTTAACTATAGTGCCTGACGAACCTAAACCTAATTTCCACGATGAACAATTCTCTTGCATCCCACAAAAATCTCAATCTGGGAGGAAGATGTAGGAACCGATTTCCAATGCACCCCAAATAAATTTTATTATATATATATCTGATATGGAATGGCTTTGGCATTTATTCATTGCTATATATATATATATATATATATATATATATCTTGATAGGGAATGCACTTTGGCATTTATTCATTACTATCTTGAATTTCCTTGGATGGACAGACAAGCCTAAATTCTTAAAACGTTACACTGTTCTCTAAGTCACAAATTGCTACCACTAACCTCATTGTCTCCAATCGAGTGCACTTCACCATTCAACTCCAGATACTTTGTACATGAAGACAAGACCATCTCTGCTGCTCCTTTCCAATGTATGTAAACTTCTGAGTTGGCCTGCCAAGAAACCACACGGATAAATTTCATCGACAAAGATGCATAAAGCAATAAAATAAGTGATTAAGCGTGAAAGCGATCAACAGCTTGCTTAAAATAGTATTCCACTGCTCCCTAAATCGTCCAGACAAACTTGTCACTCAACCCCAATACTGCAAATGCAGCAAGGAAGAACATGGCACTCCAAGCTCTAAATTATAATAATTACCCGCTTTATTGCAACACCACCTCGCTTCTTTTCTGAATTGAAAGGGAAAACATGGAGAACTTTGGACTCTGATTTGACAACATCAAACTTCATTCCCAGCTGCACCACAGGTTAGGAAAAGTGAATAAACTTAAAAAATGTTTAATTAATTCACAAAGTAGAGGCAATAAATAAAATATATATATACACCTTGACAGCCCAAGATAAAATAGCCTTTTCCGTGGGAGATCCAGATACCTCTATACTTCCCCCATCCTGTCAATAAAATTCAGTCAAAGAGAACCAATCATAAAACGTACAAAAAAAGGATTGAGCTCCCACCAATGACAAAAGAAAACAAAAAGCAAGAGACAGAATGTTGCCAAACAACCCTTCAACTTCCACAATACTTGGAGCAACAGTTAAGGGGCCTTGGTCTTCCCTGTACAAGCCTTTTATAGTAAAAACACATTTCCTCCCTTCATTCTAATAGCAAATTGATGTATGAAAGTTTACCTTAGCCACAAAAACATTGCCGGTGCTGTTCTGAGCACCGCCCTCATATAACAGAGACAATACTGATGAATGCAACTGTAGTGGATCATCTGGGGGATTAATCTTTTCCTTTCCAACACATGCATCAACCACAGTCATCTAAAGTTCCAATTTTTAACAAAATTAATCACCATTTAATAACTAACACCATTTAATAAAGTTCCATTTAACTGTAAAAATAGAAGGATAACTAACACCTAGAGTTCATAAACAGAAAATAATTAAGAGGAAAATAATAGGTTACTAATTTTAATTTCAAAAAAAAAAATAAAGTTCTCATTCAATAAAATTTTCATTTCCTATTCTCAATTTTTATTGAAAATGAGAACCAAATATGTTTGCGATGTTCTCCATTTCTGTACATTCCCAAAATTGTCTATAAAATTTAAACCTTTTTTTCTTCTCTTAGTCCCAATTCGACTAAAAACATTAATCTATAAAATGCAACCTTAATATGTCAATATATATAATCTAAAATGTTTGAATATTTCATTTTCAAAAGAAAATTCCGATCAGAATTTAGTGGTTCTTATAGAGCCTAAAGTTATTTTCAAGTTTGGTCCTTCTTATAACATATTCCACGAATTGAAGACATTTTAAAATTTTGATATCACTGGTCCAACAGAGCTAAATGTACATCCAAATGTAGTTGTTGAGCCCGAATTGTACCTGATTTAAAGTCAACGTCCCAGTCTTATCACTGCAAATTGTTGTTGCAGAGCCCATAGTTTCACAAGCAGACAGCCTACGAACCTGTGGAAGTAAACTTCTGTTAGTTGCGAAAAGAAGAACTTCAAAGGAATCATCTGAAGTACAAGTTTATTAGATGGAAATCAATAAGAATACTAACCAATGCTTTATCGGCCATCATCTTCCTCATGGAGTATGCTAATCTGGAAAATACAAGTACATAAATATTAAAAATACCTGAGAAGTCGGATAAAATACAACACAAACTGCAGAATTACTTACGTTAGGGTGACAGCCAAAGGAAGTCCTTCGGGTACTGCAACAACTACAATAGTAACCTGAATGATTTAATAAGCAACAATAAGTCAAATGCAATACACTACCGGAGAAAAACAGTATCAAGAGGCTGCACTTACAGCAACAGTAACGATTTTAATAACTGCATCTACAGCATCACCTAGACTCGTATGCCCACGCTGAAATTCAGGGTTTCCATTTGCATCACTTGTATTTCCCGTGAAGTATCTAAATTTTCAATTTACATTTTTAAGGACAGGATCGTGAAAATTTTAGTGACTGAATTATAATTATGAAGTACAATAATATCACCTGCCCAAAAGGACAGCCAGCACAGAAACTGCAACCGCAAGCCCAACTATGCCTATGAAAGTTGCAACTCCATTCAACCGCACCTATTAAACGTCATTCAAAAGTAAACTGAAACACATCAACCACGAATTCCATGGTATTCTAAGTAACAAATGTCAAGACATTAACCTGCAGGGGAGTTTCTTCCCCAGTATCCTCTGAGATACTTGCCATCAACAATCCCCATTCAGTATTGATTCCAACGGCAGTTACCTGAAGGAGGCAAAAACGGTGAAGCTCCATAATGTGGTGTTTTTGCCTATTTTATGACAAAAGCATGCCAGTTTTTGTTTAACAACTTTATTTCATGTACAAAGAGGTATCAATATGCATCATTCATTCAAAGCACTTATCTTAGTACCAAGAAACTTACACACATTGAAAAAGGGAAAAAGCACGTACAAGGATCCAACATAAACCAAGCTCTCTAACAGACCCACTGGATCAAATTAAACCTTGGAAAAAACCAGTCTCTGACCAAATCCAGACCTAATCAAAGTCAATTCTCCAGCCCTTTCAAAGTTCTTTCCAAATAAATAAATAATCTATGATAACACAACACTGGCCACTTAGAAACTTGGACATATAAATAAGAGCATATTCGTAGTTCAAGAACTACATCAGACAAATCAAGAACAGCACCAAGTTTAAAAGAATTCAAAACACAAAAATTACCATCATGGTACCAACTCCATCTGCAACTTTACAACCAGACATCAAAAAGGGTGCCTTCTGATCTTTTCGAACCTGAAAGCCAATATCAGCTTAGTCGTGGAACAAAAAGGGATTTATGTAAGATGATTGAAAGGAAGTTACAGTTAAGCTTACAATCTTGCTTTCGCCTGTCATGCTAGATTCATCTATGGCAAGTGAATGGCCGGTGATCAATATTCCATCAGCAGGGATCTAACCAAAACAAATAAGTTTGTTAAATGATGAAAATATGGTTAAGATTTAAAGTAACCAACAAACAAATTAACCACAAAGGACAGCAACCTGATCTCCGATTTTAAGAGGTACAACATCACCAACAACAAGGTCAAATATTGACACCTTTAAAGTTCTACCGTCCCTCAAGATCTGCATGAAGTTTTGTTTAGTTCGCATGTCAATACAAAATAAGGAAGTGATATGGCATTTGCCAGTATCTACCTCTATTTGTATGTTCTGTTTTTCCTCATTTAAGTTCTGAAATTGAAGAGACTGTCGATAATCACTGACGGCTGTTAATCGAAAAGGGGCAAATAAGAAGACATCTCAGAACAGAGAGGAGAAAACATTTATAAAATTAACAAAATCACCATAAAAACTCAAGTCAAAATCAATATGTATTGCATTAAAACATCAACCAAGTACAAAATTCGTGCATAGCCTAAATGAACCTGCTGGAACAAACAAGCATATAAGAAATAAAATTTAATTACTTTAAATGCATCGCATATTTTTTTCATTTTCATCACCAGTAAAATTCAAAAACCTCTTCCCAGTAATTACTCGCTCTTCTTTAGAAAAAGAAGAGGCTTAATTACAATTTGAATGGAATAAGATAGAATACCTGTGACTATTATCACAAGAAACACTGCAAAGGCAATACTTCCTCCATCATACCATCCTTCCTCTATACCCTGTGATGATTACCAAAGCCAGAGATCAGAATCCACTGCACGTAGATCAAGTCAACAGAGGCAGTGACATGTGAAGAAACTAAGAAAAGTAGCAAGCCAGATTGAAAGTAACTTGAGTGTATGAACTTCAACTTCGTCCTAGACTTGAGTTGTGTTATGCTATCTGGTAAACAGTACAAGTATGTTTCAAATTTCAGAACTTACTAAGCATGTTCATCCTAACATAATCGCATCAATTCTCAACTTCATTCTGTATTTTCCATAAAACATTTCACCATGTTCATCTTTACCAAAGTTGAATTATAGTAAAACTCAAAGCATCTTTCTTATATCTTTGTAACACAGATACATATCACAACATGTGACATAAATATATTCTTAAAAATAATTGACAAAAAGGACAAGATGTTTAATAGACCAAGCAAACCTCTGTTTTAATCCCCAAAATTAATGATGCCACTGCAGCTACAATCAAGATGACTAGGGTTAAATCTTGCCAAGCTTCCCAAAGAAATCTCTGCCAAACATAGTACAATGAAAATGAATGGTCGTCTACTAACATAGGACAAAAGAAAACAAATGGAGATTTAGTTTTTAAAAAGTCAGAAAAAAATAAATGCTTGTACCAAGAAACTCCGCCCTTTTTTACGTGGATATGTATTTGATCCAAATGCATTTGTTCTTTTCAATAAATCAGTTTCATCTCCCAGAATTCCTTTCTCAATATTTGTTTTCAGTAAATTTGACAAGCCTTTAACCTGGTAAAGTAAGATTGTAGTTTTTCACGTCAGCCAAGGACGAAGAAGATGGATAAATATGATACAACCAAATAAACCATATCTGACTTACCCCTCCATATTGTTGTAGAGAAGAAAATTTTTGATCCCGGGTCAATGAAACAAGATTTTCTAGACTAACACCATAGTCACCCGTTGGCGTTGGAGGTGACGCTGCTGAACCTATCATTGGAGACACTAAAATAATATTAACAGAAGTTGAGTAAATATAGATGCAATGCAGTATCAGTTTCCAATTTCTGATTGCAATCATTGTATCTCAGGCAATTAATCAGACAATCGTATCAACCAATTGTTTTTGTTTCCAGGCATAAGCATCAACCTTTTTTTTTTAATAAGAAACCTGTATATTAAGCAAAAAAGGAACCTGTATATTAAGCAAAAAAGGAGTGAGATCAAACTAAGGGCTAGGATAGAGAGAACCCCACCCGAACAAGCTATACAAAGGCATAAGCACCAACTTTGGATTTCACAATCAACACAGATTTCCAAATGAATTATATATAGTGTATATTGGTAAGAAAAGTTAGTAAAATAGACAAGGAATAAGGTATGAAAAAGGTTGATGGAGTAGATTTGGTGTAACATACAAGACACGAAAAATAAAAAGAAATAAAGTATTGTGAAAATTATGGAGACTTTTATAGACACAATACCAGTTTGTCGTTCCCCTGCCAATTTGAAAAGCAATGCTGCCTGAGGGAAGAAGCCAAAAAAAAGTGATAAGGATATATAAAGACCAACTCTAGCAGATATCAAATGTTGGTGAACATTTAAACTATTACTCTTATGACTTGTGCATGGGCTCTAATCATCCTCCTTCTTTGTTCTTTATCTTCCTCTTTTTTTAAGTCCAAAGTATATCGAAATCTCCGAGATGCATTAAGCACCAATGCAGCTTGCTGCACCACAAAGCGAGGAGAGAGAAAGAAAGAAAGAAAGGGAAGGGAAGGGAAAAAAAAAAAGGAAAAGATAAAATAATTACAATTAGTTCATATTCCATGTACAAAAAGATGAAAGGTCTTTCACCTTAACATGCAAACTTATCACTAGCAGAAAACTTAAAAGATAATAATCTTGTGTTCACAATATTTTATCACTACCATAATACTCGAGCTTTAAAAGAAAATATAAGCAATAGAAAGAAGCATTTTTCTACGTAGAGTTCATTTGAAAATGTGCGTAACATCATTCTTGCATGGTTCTTGCCAATTCTTTAAGTTTTTTTACTATTTTTTTACCTTACAGTAAAATCTTGTAAGCTTATTAACTTTTACAGCCAGTAACCTATTTGTTAGTTTGTTTACAGCTGCTAACTTGATGTTATCTTAGCTTTTAGGTAGTTACTGGGCGGTTATTTAGTTAAGGACTTCTTTCTTCAAAGTACTCCAGCCTTCTTTCTTATAAATAGGGGCTGAAGTCTTCATTTGTAGGCATTATTATTTTGAAACAATAAACTCCCTTCACTTAGTACATCAGAATTTCTCTCAAATTAACTAATAACAATAAAGTCCAGCACAACAACAGCTATACCCAACCAGGTCGGCCCGGCCCAGAGCCATATAGCCCAATAGGTGAGCCCAACTTCAGATTTAGGGGCCAATGATTAGCCCAAGCACATAGCCAATGATTAGCCCAAGCACATAGGTCTAGCAAACTTGAATCTAAGGGCCACAAAATCAGATATATGGGAAAGGATATCCAACAAGATGATTGGTTGCACGTGACCACCCAACTAACTATGACCTAACTAAAGAAGTACCACTAAACCTGGCCTATTAATGCCTTTTTCCAACCTTCCTTTCTATATAAAGGCCAAGATGCAAAGCAAACCCTAAGCTCCGCCAACGTGGCCAGCTCACCTTTGATTATGCTGACATGTTGCTCGCTCAAAATCTAGCAACAACACAGCACCTTCTTTCTTTTCTAATGACTACAAGTTTCCAAGTTAATTTGTGTGCATCCCATGTCATAAAATCCTGTAATATTTTGTATATTGAGAAACTTATTGGATATTAGTGTCCCATGAGTGGCCATAGAACTTAAAGCCATCATTTTTAAAACATATATAACTCATCAACAAATTTAAACAAACGGTTTTTTATTTGTAAATGAATCATCCATGTATTATTCATTAATGATTTCACACATCTACTATTCATTTCTATTTATAAATGTTTAATTAATTATTATAAAGGCAATGTTGGAACAAGTAAACGCATTTGGGCCCTAGCCCATTTCACTTAATGCCACTGTCCCCCTTAGTTGAAAATGAAAGAGATATTAATAAATTTTGCATTGTTATTATTTTTTCATATTTTTATTTTCACTTTAACTATTCACTTTCATTATTGATTTTTTTTCTTACAGAGTAAGGATTGAACCTTCAGTATATGCGGGACTGTGCTAAGGTTGACACTTCAACCTAACCACTTCTAAATTGAAATTATTTTTATTGAGATTTTATACTTTGAATATGAAATGAAATTTTACAACTTAAATTTTATTTCAAGCAAGAGTAAATAATAATCATAATTATAATTTTTCTTCACCTTAATTTTTATTTTAAACAATTTTAAGAAAACTGTCATTTTTATTTTTATATATAAATATAACAAAATTCGAATTATGTAGTTAACTCATAAACACGCGTGGTAAACAGCTAAACAAAAGACAAAGCAATGGATATAAATTAAGAGGAGTGGTGAAAGACAAAATTACCCTCCACCGCTTGAGAGTCGCGAGAGGGACATTTTTGGTATTCTCGATGTCAAAAGGATCGGAGACAGGCTCGTCTTCCTCCTCCTCGTTGATGCTTTTGGTAGAGGAGATGCCGGATTCTATATCATGTCGCCGGCCGGACGTGGAAACGGTGAGCGGAAAGAGGCCATTGCCGGACGAAGAGGAACCACGAGAAGTCATATTTATCTCAGCTCGCAGGAGAGATGGCACAGCACATACGCAGAATCGACGGACGCTTGCTTATACCTGCTGGGCCACCGAGCCCTAGAGAAACCGAAGAAGAAACGCAGAAAGCATAAACAATCAGAAATCGAAATTGCAATTGCAATTGCAATCACAGTGGGAGAATAACGAAGCTATTGATATGAATTCTGGGACTGGGGGGACGGTTATGGTATTGCTATTTCTGGAAGCGCGAAGAATTTGGGGATGGGAAGTAGAAAAACAAGGAGCGGTCACATACCAAAATTAGGAAGTGAAACGGTGTGACTGATGCTTTAATGCGCGTATTTACATGAGAACAGAGATAATGGCAGCCAAATTGGAGTGGTGGCTGTAACTGATAGACGGCCGGTCGACTCCATTGATGTCCAAAAAACAGCTTAATTAGCTTCACACCGCAACATTGCCGAAAATTGCCATTGATTTGCTACTCTGCGCTGGATGAACGCTAAACTGATCTGTAAATGTCCCTCGATCGTTGCCATCCTTCAATCTTCGTCTATTTTCCGCTCATACGAAATTTCTAAGCAACTTCCTTCCTGACCGGGACATCCACTTTCATGAGCACTGTTACTGCTCACGAGTTTTTTTTTTTTTTTTCCTTTTTCTCACTCTTTATTATTATTACTATTATTATTTTAAATACCATGTTTATTTTTTTTTAATAATAAACGAGGAGGAACGCTTTAGCACAGTTCGAGAAATTATTTTAAATTTTATAATTTGAAATTTGAGAAATTATTTTAATTTTTTTATATGGGTTGGAAGGATAATAATTTGAAAGAAATTAAATTAATTTTTTTTGCGCTAAAAGTTAAAAATAAAATAAGATTTGGACTATTAATCTAAGTTTATTAATTATAAATTAATATATGGTCATGTCAAATATGTAATTTATTTTTAAATTCAATGAAATCCTAGAAGATTCGATCATTTTGATCACGATAGGATTTTAAATCCGGTAAAATTTAAAATCATATGGTAGCCAACAATAAAATTAGTTTGAAATCAATCATGCTTTTCAAATCTCTCAAAATTTGAGGTACCAAATAGACTATAAAGATCGACAATACCCACGTTGATTATAATTCTAAAGAAAATATTTGGCTCATTGGTAGTAAGAAGTAGGGATGACAAAAAAACCTGCGGAATCCCGCATGTACTTGACTTGATCGGGTTGGGAATCTCCAATTTGACTGGAGATGGGTCAAATCGGAGATCCAAATTGGGGTGGAGGTCTTCCCATCCCATTTAATATTTTAATAATTTTATATATAATATATATTAATTTTTTATAAACAATTTTTTTAACACAGTGTAGTTTTATTTAATTTTTTTACTTAGGTGACTAAAAATGATTTATGCAAAATGCACGGTCTATAAGAATGCAGAATTACTTATTTTTGTCAAACTATGAACGCTATTTGTTTGTCGATTCTCTTTAAAACCAATGACATCGATAGTAATAATTTGAATTGATCAAACCAAATAGTCTCGATCCATTTAGTTGATTTTCTTTTGCCGTCTTTCAACCAAAATTTCTGGAATTAAAAAAAATGCATGTTTAAAACATTCGATTTATTGTTGGTATATCCAGCTTCTCGGTTTCTTTTTTCACTATTATCATTATTATAAATAAAAGAGAGGAAAAAAAAAAGAAAAAAAAACACTGTTTATGGCGTTTTTCATGCTTATTACCGTTGTAGGAAAATAGAGAGAGAGAAAAAGCGCGCGAATCTACGTTCTCGTCCCCCGCGAGTCCACGACGCACGTTGTGAATACGTGTGCCCAATGAATTTTTTTTTTCTTTTTTTCTTTGACATTAACTTAAAAGTTAAACAACGACTCTTTATAATTTTTTTTCTTTTTTTTTTCTGAGGGAAACGACTCTTTATATATATATTTTTTTTTTTTCTTTTTTTTTCTTTTTGAGAATAGACTCTTTATAATTTTATTTCAGCAGTTCAAGATGCAAATGTTTATTTTCATTTCTCAGGATGAGATTACTTCGACCGTATTCTTTATTGTATAAAAAAATGTTTATTTTGATTGTACAATAATATGATTTTGGTTCAATTTATCTTATTACACTTCCTTTATTTTGTCAATTTTATTTATAATTATACTTCCAATATTTTTTCATTCAACAATCTTTTTATTTTCTTTTTATTGAAAACATATGTCTCAACTAACTAATTGGAGCTAACCATTATTCTTCTAAATCTTATTGAAGTAGGGATATATTTTTCTGTTTTGCTACATAACCTGTACTTCATATAGCTTTACATAAATTCGTTAATTATTATGTCATATTAGCTCATTGTCGTCTAATTTTAATAGTCACCATCAATTATAATACAGTTGGGTCGCATGCAATTTTGAGCATATCTCAATTGGTTAAGACATTTATTTAAAAATGTTCATGGGAGGGGATAGAGACCCTGCCCCCATTTAATTCCCTATCTCCGTGAAATTCCTTATGAAATTTTTGCAGAAATTTTTCCTCGTTCATTCTTTTATTTTTAAAATTAATTTTCAATAAAATGTTTTTTCTAATGAAATTTATAATTAATTGCTTAACTTTTAACGATAAAACTTATTTACGTAATATAATATTTCTCTATATATTGGATGGGTATAGAAGAATGTGGCTTTTTTAGTATACATATAGATAGAGAATAATAAGATTTTTTAGGGTATATATAAAAGTGAGGTAGGGGTGGGGAACGAGGAATGCTAGATCTTCCAATGGCATGTGTCTTCCTCAACGCCATTATACTCTTCAATTGCTTGAAGATCATGGTTCTTGGTTGTAAGCCTGCAGCTCTTCCCATGGACCCTCATTCGAAGCTACACCATTATGATGTGGATCTTTTGTCTGATCATTCCTCTTATCGACGGCTCATACTTCATTTGACTCTCTCTCAATCGGATATTACTTATGTCGTGCATGAGCTTAGCCAATTTGTGGTCAAACCTTGTAAGTCTCATATGACTGCTGCTTAGCTTGCTCCGAGGCAATGTATTTTTCTTTTCACTTCACCTTCATTTCAACTTCAAGCCTTTGCTGACTATTGTTTGGCTTCTTGTATTGACACATGACGTTCTACCATTGATTTATGTGTCTTTCTTGGTGATGCTTTGGTGTTCTGGAAGTCCAAGAAATAGTCTACTATATCTCGATCATCTGCTGAGGCTGAGTATCGAGCATTGGCTGTTGTTACATGTGAGCTCGCTTTGCTCACTCATCTACTCTCTGATTTGCATATACCATTTAAGCCATCTGTTCCTCTTTTTTGTGACAACCAGACAACTATTCACATTGCATCTAATCCGACGTTTCATGAGCGTACCAAGAATATAGAACTTGATTGTCATTTTGTGCAGGACCACATCGTTGATGGTCTTGTTAAACTGCTCCCTATTCATTCGTCATCACAGCTAGTCGATGTCTTTACTAAACCTTTGCCAGCTACTGTTTTGTTTCCTCTACTTTCCAAGATGGGCGCTCTTGACATATACCGTCCATCTTGAGGGGGAAGTCTTAGATATTATTATTTAGATAACCACTTGTATAGTTTATGTTATGCTATTCTTCTCTTGTATATATATAGTTATAATGAGAAAGTCTGAACATAAGATTCAACTCATTTTATTCATACTTTTCCTATCTCTATGTGACTACGGAAAAACGTTCTTCATCACTGTTGGACAATTTAAATAGAAATTTTTCGCTCTATTTAGATGGATCCCTGCAAAACATTCCTACATATATCTTCGACAAAAAAAGTCATGGATTTGAATAGGCACATGCACGTATGGTTGTACTAAAAAATAAATAATAAAATTTTGAGTACAACATATGGGAGCGGGGATTCGAACTCGTAATTTATTGATTGGATGACTAAAAAATAAATTTTGTTATACATAGTTTAGAAACTTAATATAAACATTTTTTTAAGTACAATAGATGTTTATTTGTTAAGATATATGTCTTTTAGTTTTATTCATGGGACAGGGCGGGCACGGTAAGCCCTTGTTAGTTTAATAAATGTGAGTTGATTAAAAAAAAAGGTTTAATAAATGTGAGTGGGTGAGTGATATATTCAATCCATACTCGAACTGGCATTGAATAAAAGAAAATTGTAGTTCCATAAAAAAAAAGAAAAAAAAAGTTAAATAATATATAAAATTAAAATAGAATAAAAACGAAAGACCAATATCCGGCTGAATGCCGTATGGCAGGAGACGGCCCCAATGGGCACTTAATTTGGGGTCAACACAAGCTGGCGCTCAAATAATGACAGACAGCAAGTGTCCAAGTCCATTGAATCGAGTTGTCATTATAAACTAAAGAGCAAAAAATAAAACGGTGGATAAATAACAAATATTTCTACTCAACAATAATTAATATATAAGGATGGTGGGAAATTTTCGAGATGGGGATTCCCAACAGGAAATTCACGGGAAGCGGGTTCCTCGTGAGGATTTTTCCCCGTTTATTCTTTTACTTTTAAATTATTTTTCAATTAAACATTTTTCTTAAGAATAAATTAATTAATTTTCAACGATAAAAACTTTATCTACATGTCTAATCCTCTATATATTTGGTGGGTAGAGAAGAATATGGTTTTATTAGTATATGTAAGTATTGAAAGAACAATAAGATTTTTTAGTATATATATATTTAAAAAAAATGCGAGGCGGGACTGTCACACAGGTTCTAATTCTTAAGTCAGGATCAGAGTAGTTGACTATAAAGTGTGGGGTGTTGTGAGCATACTTTTAGGGTTTAGCTTACTCTCCTATTTATAGAGGTCGAATCCTAATTCCTTCCGGGTTTACATCCGTTGAATCCTATTCCCTTTAGAATTTACATAAGTTGAATTCTAATGCACTCGGGAGATCTAGACGGAGTGGGCCTCGTGCTGCATTCAGGGCTGTGACCAAGTCGACTTGGATCGGGCTGCGCGGGGTCGGGACGAATCGGTGAAGTTCTCAACTATTTACGTTGAGAACTCCTCGGCGCCAAGGTCTGGTCAGTGTCGAGCACTGCTTGGCGTCGGCCCAGGTTGCTGGGCGCCGACCCACTTACCTCTCTTCGGGTCTGCTTCTTCTTCAGCTCTATTTCCTCTTTTCAGTTGTTTAGTTCGATCTCTATTTTCTTCCTATAACAAAGATATTTTGATAATTGTAAAAAATCAACAAATAAAAATAAGTAAACAAAATTAGAAGATAGGGTCATGAATAAGAGATTCTAGAAAATTGGTGAAAAGTCCGAGTTGAATTAAGAAAAATGGCAAAAATCCAAATTTCTCAAGAACTAACAAATGCAGAACATATGGTGTCGGAGGAGAAAGTAGCAAGATGCCTTAATCGGGTCATATTGAAAAATACAAACAAGCTACGTTTTGAACTAATAAATTCTTTTATTTCAATCCATCCAAGTGTTTCTTGTAAGAATGTCTTTTTCCCAATTATGATATTGTATAAAATACATGTACATAGATGTTTGATTCACCTACCCTTTTATATTATAAAAAAGAGATTTAAATGTATACATAAAATAATAATAAAAAATATATAAAAAAAAGACCAGAGAATTCAAAATTTCATCTTTGAATTGTGTTCTGTTCACAAATAAAATAAGAATATTGGTGAGTATATTTGAAAACAGGTTAGAATTAGAACCAGAAGTATACCAGAAACGGGCCGAAACGGTACGATAACATGGGCTGGGCTTACGGACTAACAAGACCGATATGTGGGCCCAACAATTGGGCCTTTAACAATGCAATCATAAAGCTAGCATCGGTCTATCTTTTGGGCCGTTGGATGGATGAAAGGCCCAGGCTTTGACGTTGCCTGAGCTCGAGACGTGGCGCGTCCAAACCCTACAAAACCCTAGCTGCAGTTGATCGCCTTCTTCGCCTTTCTCAGGAAACCCTAATTTCGTTTCAGGATCAACTCGAACTTCAGAGGGTGAGTAGCATCAACATAGACAATTTTTGTAAAAAAGCATTCATTATCATTTACAGGCTTTTGTTTTTGCCGAATCAGTAAGTTGCTTAGTTGATCTGATATTTTCCACCGACAAGATTTCCATGACTTTCATCTGACCAAGTTCTTGAGAGTCTACTTTGGCAAATGTATCAATTTGAATTTCTGTTTGAGCCGTCGGTGAATGTGAAAGCAGTAACAGTGATATCACTGGCATGGGTCGAGTGCCGTTCTTTTCCCTCATGCTCCTGTTTTATTTGTTTTCATCTACATTTTTGACGATTAAAGTTTTGCTGGCATCTAGGGTTTTTATATTTCCTGATTTTAATTTTTGGTGACTTGGTTTGGAATTTTCATCCCGTTTTCAATATCTCATTGTCACAGAACCGTAAGAATCCTACGAATTTGGTCGTCATGCCATATACTTTTACGGTTTTACTTGCGAGATTTTTACTTGATTATGAAAATGTTCTAGTTTTCTCATTGTTGGATATCCTTACCTTTTATAAGGAATTAATATGAAGAATATTGGCCTAGTCCCTATTGCTTATATGTGAAATTTGAGGGGTTATATCTCTTCCAAATGCAAATGTAAAATTTCTGTCAATATTGTTTATCCTGTCAATTGTTCGGTTAGGCTTCGCATGGGTCTTATACTGTTCGTGTCCTGTTACAGTACATTCCTTTTTACGAATTTATGGTGTATAGTAATGTTTAATTTTTTATTTCACCAGATATGGGCGAAGAAGCTAAGGCCATAATTCCAGAGTCGGTTTTGAAGAAAGAAAGGAGGAATGAGGAGTGGGCTTCGGCAAGTAAGCAAGAACAGGAGGCTGCAAAGAAGAAGAGAGCAGACACCAGGAAATTGATTTACAATCGTGCTAAATTGTACTCGAAGGAATATGAAGAGCAGGTACTTAATCACTTTTACGATAGACAGTGTCCTATAATTTAGTGAACTAGTTATGGAAAGGTAGAGATCTTTATTTGTGGTTTCAGGAAAAGGAGCTCATTAGGCTGAAGCGAGAAGCAAAGTTGAAGGGAGGGTTTTATGTTGACCCTGAGGCCAAGCTTTTGTTTATCATCCGCATTCGAGGGTACATCTTAGACTTATGATTTGTTATTACGTCATAATATTATTTGATTATTAGATTTTTTTAACTCGTCAAACTCTACTTTCAGTATCAATGCGATGCACCCTAAGACCAGAATGATATTGCAGCTTTTGAGATTGAGACAGGTACCCTTTTTAAGTAATCCCTACAGTGTTATGCTTATTTTCACAGATGTTCTTCCTTAATGATTAGTTTAATATGTTTAGAGAAGGTTTTTGAATCCCTGCATAGGAGTTAAATGCTCTACTCTCTCTTTGATCTGGCACAGATATTCAATGGTGTATTTCTGAAAGTAAACAAAGCAACCCTAAATATGCTTCACAGGGTTGAGCCTTATGTTACTTATGGGTAATTTTCTTTGCCAAACTCACTTTTTTTTTCCCACATGAATGTTTGTGTTTTGCATCTTAACTGAGATTGTGTGATTGTGTTGATAGTTACCCCAATCTGAAGAGCGTGAGAGAACTCATCTATAAGAGGGGCTATGGGAAACTAAACAAGCAGAGAACTGCTTTGACTGACAACTCAATCGTCGAACAGGTTTGCATTGTTTTATCCAATGTCTAGTTTGTAGTATTTGATTACGAAACCAACTTGGCTGCTGACATTGCTCTGTTGTTGGTCCCATAAGGCGCTGGGTAAACATGGAATTTTGAGCGTGGAAGATCTTATACACGAGATCATGACAGTTGGACCTCATTTTAAAGAGGCAAATAACTTCCTGTGGCCATTCAAGCTGAAGGCACCGTTGGGTGGTTTGAAAAAGAAGAGGAACCACTATGTTGAAGGAGGAGATGCTGGAAATCGTGAAAATTATATCAATGAGCTTATCAGAAGAATGAACTAGTTTTTCTATTTCTTGTTTATGGAGGAGGTTTCTATTACCTTTATTAGATGGGGGAATTTGAATCTGAACTTTTATACTCTATTGCGAAGTTTGACATCTTTTGTTAGTTGTTTGGAGGACATTAATTAATTTCTTCAAAATTTTGTTAAATTTTGATTGAGTGGATATCTTGGAAATTTGATCGAGTTCAATTATTTATACGTTCGGTTGTATCATCTTTTCTCCCAATTGGATTGCCAATGTTACGTTTTCCTTTCCTTTTTCGACAAAAAGCACATTCTTGAAAGCCTGAGAAATGTAGACAGTAATCTGAAGGTAGCGTTGTGGATTGAAAATTCATGAATAGCTAGTTAAATTAATAAATAAATATTTTACACTTTGAAACTTAAATTTAAAGCGCTGAATCAGGCAACCTCCTTCAACCAAAATTGAACTTATTTTCTACTTTCAACTCTGAATAGACTCAGCCTCAACAAATAATATTTCCGTGTACTCAAAGGTCATACAAATCTCCTTGCCAACTGCTTCACTCAGGTCAGGATCCACCGAATGCCAAAATTTTGACAATTCATGTTCATGATAAATTTATATATTTAAAAAAAAAAAAATCATCCATAAGATTCACGGGGATGGCCCGGTAGGATTATGAGCCTCAATATCTACATGCCGAATACCAGGAACAAGCTCTTGGATCTCTTTCTCTAATCTATCCACTTCACTTCCTAATGCAGTAACCACCTCTTCTCCTGCAACCACAATTTCAATTTGTGAACCAGACATGTCAACATCTCAAATTTATTAAATGTCCAACACTCATTTTGTGCATACCGTAGTTTGACATCATTTTAAGCAAAGCTGAATCATCCTGCTTCTTCGCAGCTTCTCGAAACTGTAAGACATGGATGTAGTAGTTCAGACATCACAAAATGAGTACAACTTCACAATCTACCAATGGGCATGGACTAGAGTACATAAATGCAAGTTCACAAACCCCTTTTCTTTTTTCTACTAACATGAAAGGAAACATTATGTGCTCGAGAAATGTGGCTGGAGACCCACGCAACATGATCAAGCAGAGTCCAACTTAGATTGTTTTTGGACGGGATGACATTCAGAAGACATATTATAATGTTTCCTTTTTTTGCTTTTTTCGTTTTATATCCATGAGTATCCAGGACAGCTTAATGCTTTTCTTACTAATTATTGAGTTTAAAAAGGCAAAACAGACTAGTGAGCATGCTGAAGATAAGGAGTATAAAAAGGCAAAACAGACTAGTGAGCATGCTGAAGATAAGGAGTATCAACCTCTCTAGCCCACTCTTCACGTCCAGTCCTATTTAGATAATTTTGCACCACTGTAACTCCATTGAAATCTGCTTCATACAGCCAGCTAAAGTCAAAATACATTGATGATACAATAATTTCATAAACTGCCTGAAATATAGAACTCCATTAAAGGTAAAACTGACATAACAGTGTTTTAGCACATGCATATTGAAAAATTTAGGGATCAATTATGCTATTAGGTGAAATCAATCTACTCCATCCCACATTTAGAGTATGAATACGACAAAACAGGTTTCTCGTTTGCAACCTTTTGTTGCAGCATAGGCCTATAAATTCTGACCTAATGAACAACAGAAGTGATAACACAACCGTATGATGTGGCAGCTATACAAGGGGAAACGATCAACAGGTATGCAGGATTTCAAAAGCTACGAACCATATAAGACATATGAAAACATACTGAAACAAGGCAATTCATTCCATAACTTATGAATCATCAAATACTACCAATGTCACTGACAAGATTCATCTTCCAAGTCGACTCAATTTCATGAACGAACCTAAACAGGAGATAATCTATGCAACATTGGTAAAGTATTGAAGAAAAAATTAGAGGGAAAAAAGTAAGTAAAGAAATTCCACCTATTTCTGCCTTGAATCTATAGAATCCTGGTCCAATCACCTCGCTTTTGCAATCATATAAAGCATCAACAACCTAGACCAGAAGACTTCACAACCTGAATTCATGAATTATAATATTAAGGTAAAGATGCAATTGAAATTTATCATGCATGATCGTACTGGATCATTCTTCAAGAATTGGAGAACTTTCTGCACATCATTTTCATCCATCGCTCTACCAATTAAAGCATGCCGATTACGTTGGATGAGGAATATGGCCACCTGCAATACAAATTTATAAGTTTTAGACTAATATGTGGTTTATAACTCGTGTAAATTTTTTACCCAACCCTTGTTAATATCCCGGTGCTTGTTGATATTCCAAACTGCAGAGAAAACAATGATATTTCTAACGGTTGATTTTTTTTAGTACAACAAAATGTGGGGTATGGGAATTTGAGCCTCTGTCCTTAACGTAAGAAATAGATGCTATTTACCATTGGGCTTGCTCATATTGGCAATATTTCAACAGTTACTAATCTAGCATATACACAGTTTGCCTCCTTTTTCCACTACATTAGTGGTTCACCTTTGTCCTAGAAGCTGTTGCTGATAAACCCTGAATATTATTTATCAACAAGGTTATAGTCAATAGAAGAATTCTAGAGCTTCCTGTCGCTCAACCCTCTGTTCACTAACAGTCACAAAGGCATGCTCTCTATTCCTCTCTTTGCCCTATTTATATTCCTACCCACGTCACATTACTTCAGCCATATCTAGTTGCACAAGTGGGTCCTGCCTTCCAATTAATTACATTCCCTCTCCACCATTCATGTTCCTCACACGCTTCCTCTTCTACACATTTCTAATGGGAGGCTTATCAGTTCTTTCTACCTCTCTAGGCTTCACTATCACTAATTCGTGTTACAGAAGACATTGTAGAAGACTTTGGTTATGGCTATTCTTGTGACACCAAAAGCTAGATGGTGGCCTTTCAAGGCAAAAGGTATGAGACGATCAGAATGGCTTGGTCCAACACCCTTTGATCTTTAGATTAATCATATATCTTCCCCAGAATAGCATCTTCTGATGGAAATAGATATTCTTAGCACGATAGTAAAGATTATATGGAACAACTATGTGGGAACAAGCAGATGTAGACATCCTTAGGTAGACCTGGTATGAAAGTACAAATAAAATCAGTCCATGTCATGCATGTTTCAAATTCTCAGTGACTAAAATCTGAGGCTTATATATTTATGTAACAAAATTAAGCTAGCCTATATGTTTGGTTTACATACATAAACAAGATTGAAGAACATAGCAAACAGAAGGTAAAAGTAAGCCTTTTCCCCGAAGAAAATTAATTGATGGCCAGGCAAACGAGCCTCCAAGTAGCAAATGGAAAATTCAAGGAGCACTTTGTCATCAAATGCAGGATGTCCGCATATTTCAAATATGAATTATCACAATGAAAGGTCACTTTCAATAAACAAATGAGGAGAAAAAAAAAATTATCTGCTCATAGCTGCATGCAAGCAAGACATACCATTCCAAGTAAGTTACCAACTACAATAGAACCAATGGGATCATAAATTGCATTCCCGGTGGTATTTACTGCAACAAGAGATGCAGCAGCAATCATAAGACCAGTGACTGCAGCACCATCCTGCACATTTCAGAAAACTGGATCAACGGAATCTCTAACATTAATATATTTGGCATCTAATGAGAACATCCTGCAGTTTTGTGAATTAATCTCCTTTATTGAAAAACATTAGAAGTCCTCGAAGATGATTGATCTAAAAAGAAAAAACATCTTAAACAACTTCTTAAACAACTAATGACTAAAAGGTCAGAAACTAATAGATCAGAATGCAACTCTCAACCTTCGACTCTTTCAACTATTCAATAGGGAAAGTTAAATATAGCATCAAGATATTTATATTTAATCACCAAAAGGTTAAAAGAATTAAGAGTATCCTAAGTGAGAGGGTGGGAGTATTAAATCAATTTTGGGAATGCATTCTTGCTCATGTCAAATGGGATTAGGTACTTCAAAATGTGTTTCATTAATATAATAATCTTAAGAATTTTTACCACATGAGGAGTTGAATATTTTGGAATGATGTCCATCAATCTAAAGTATGTAAAAATTAATACCTCTGTCATAACTGCTACAGATGTGGGATCGTGACCCCGCCAAACATAGTCTCTCAGTTTCATTCCCTCTGCAGCAGCACCTTTCTTGACAGCTTGTATGGCAACAACCAGGGAAGCACCTAAACAGATACAATCATTTTGCAGTAAAATAGAATTAGATATATTTATATTTTAAGGAAAATTTTGTCAATTTCAATTAAAAAAAAAAGATAAAATAAGACCTTCAATAATGAGCGAACCACCAATCACAAAAGCTGCATAATGAATATTGGCAGGAGGCTGAAGCAAACAAAATAAAGAGATAACACGTAGAGTTTCCATGAACAAAACAAGAGCCAAGTATCAAATAGGAATGGAGAAAAATTGAGAATGATAAAATCTGAAGCGAGATTCAAATTTCAATTGACCAATTACCTGTGAAGTCCACAAATTTTGAATTCCATTAACAATGGTAGCACCAGAACCAAGACAAAAGATCCCAACAGCAGATATCAATGACCAAACAAACCTTTCCTTAGAGTATCCATAACTGTTCAACAATGAAGATATCTTAGACGTGTCCAATAATTTGTGGTCATAAGAAAACACAAAACATTTACACAGGCAGCTAACTATCGTTCTTGTGGAGGGAAGTCACTCCATGTTGTAAAAATATTAATCCACTAAGCTGCATTGTGAAAATATAATTGTTACAAAACCTACCATGGTTGTTGAGATAAGCTTGCAAACTAAAGGATTAAAAGCAGCATTGACCTTGAGAGAGGTGAAAAGATTTTAACCCTTAAGGTATGCAAGCCAAAAAGAAGACCTTATAATAATAATAAAAAAAATTATATAAAAAATTTATTATATAAAGTTGGAAGCAATTGCCATAAAAGTTTTAAAATGGATAAAAACTAATACAGCTGAACGTATTTATAACTCACGGATGGAGAGCATCGGGGGCACGCCTTGAGCTACTCAGACCATAAGCAAGAAGTGCCTACAATGTCAAGATCAATTAGTTCCTCTGCATTCAGTGATTAATAACTTAGGTTAAAATTAGACATGGAGAGAGCTACTTTCCTAGGTGAATGGTTAAGATACCTGATTTGCGAAATCGGCAACAGAGTGCACAACTTCTGCCAACATGACATGGCTTGATGTAGCAAACCAAACCCCAAATTTGAGAGAGAAGACAAGGAAATTGCACCATAAAGCAGTGGTAACCGCTCGTTGACTAGGATAAAAATATCATACAGACCAAATGAACACGATAAGTTAACGAGGGGACAATAATTTCCACTAGTGTCTATATGATGAAAACCTAGTAACAGTGATGATGAAGTAGAACAATTCTCAGTTATTTGACCTTTTCACGTGCCTTCATTCTATATCTTTTGCCTGAGGATTCAACTCACCAACATTACACACATTTATGTTGAGTGCTATGTATTAGATCCTAAAAGTATAAAAATGAATTGAAAAGATTTTATCATCCTAATCCAACAACTTAAAAATGGAAACTTTTTGCAAGTGTTTACTCCTCTATTCAAATTAAGAGTTCACATTAATTTTGTGAACCTGAGATACACCCAGATGAAGTGTTTGAGTATTTGAGTGTTAAAGAATGAATTTAAAAGATTAAATTTCCCTAATCTAACCGTTCAAACTTTCTGGTGTAGTTATAATTTAAAACAAGACTTGTTTCCATACACCAAACAAGCTACGATCAGGTCGAGGATGGGAGTGATTAACATAACAGCAGTCGCCCACCTTTTACATTAACTAAAACAAACTTACGAAGACAGAGGCGCCTAAATGAGTATGTATTTCATAACTACAGAACGTTCAAGTGAACTGTGTAAGATGAAATGCCCTACCTATGATAATCATTGAATTCAATTCTCTGAACCGGTTTAGCTCTAGTGAAAAAACCTGCAAAAGTCCAATTAAGCATAAGACGAAGAACAGCTCCGTTCCTAGCAAAGAAAAAATAATGAATGCAAAACCAAGAGAGAAACGCGAATTCGAAGGAACGTACTGCGATGGAAAGCGTAATGATGATTAACAAGGGGACGACCACGATTAGAGTCGAATGAAATGAAGCCCAATAATACAGAGCGTCTCGAACAACTGGCAGCAGATGAAAGTCTTCGAGAGTGACAATGGGCTCCGAAAAGAGGGGTACCGTGACTGTCACATTCTGGTTGCTGCGGCTGATGCTGCTGTGGAATATTGGGGTCTAACAACGAAAATGGCGAAGAAGTGCAAAGAAAACGGAATGAGGAGGAAGATGAACGATGAGAATGGTGGAAACCGAAACGTTGGAAGAGGTAGGATGTTCGCATCAAAACGAATGTGCGAGGGTTGCTTTTGGTTATCCTGCTTCTGTATTACCACAGCATCGCCCCTCGCGATTCCAATTTCCACTACAGTCTACCAAATCAAGTTCTCTGAAAAAGCAGTGACCTCCATTGGATCGAACACGCAGAGGAAACGCCCTGCGCCGGCGGGTGATTTGAAGAACAGGAGCGAACCAGAAGAGTTGGATTCTGATTGCTGAAGCTGAAGCTGAAGCCGAGGATGGTATGGTAGCAACCGGCTACGAACTAGAACAGTGCGATACGATGCCGCTGCGCTGAGCCTGACGAGCTATGTGTAATTTAATAATATAATTTCAGCTTTCCTTTTTTTTTTCAAGAAAAGAATGTTACTTATTAATAATTTATTTACTTCGTTTATATATTTTTTTTTTAAATTAAAATAAAAAAATCAAGCAGAGTAGGAAAAAGTATATATTCTTTAATCAAGATAGGAAAAAGTAGATTATAGAAAAAGTAAAAGTTAATATATGTGTTTGTTTTTTAAAAATTTACTCGATAACAATCCTGGAAAAAAAAGACTTTTCTTTTAACTCCAGGCATGAGATTCGAACCCATGATTTCTAAATAAAAAATAACAATTTATTTTTGCTCGCTCCTTGGAGAAGTTTCCTTCTCTGCTTTTTATCTTTTATGGAATGTTCGTAAAAAAATTAATATAGTTCGTTTGAAAATAATATATATACATATATTATATTTTCTGGACCCATCAAGTTCAATTATTTTCATGGGTTAAAAAACTCAAATATTTGAATCTCCATCCCATGTTTACAATAATATACTCACAAAGTAAGAAGTAATAGAAACTTTTTTCAAGGCTCTGTAAAAATAAATACAGAAATTGATTTTGTCCAATTATATCATCAAATCAACTGTATATTTTTCCCAAAAAGAAAAAGAATCCCACTGATTTATTGTGGGAGGAAGAATATTTGTAAGTCTCCACAAATCAGTTTCACATCACAGGAGACAGGACTTGCTTACTTCTTCAATGGGGCACTGTTTGTTCATTACAAAGCTGCTGAGGATGATATCAACTGTTTGAAAATGGAAGCCAAAGAGAAGAAGAAAGAGCTAACATTTTCTTCAAATTTGCAAAAATCTCATATCATCCCCTCCCTAATGGATGAGGTGTTGAATCAAGATAAACAAACCAAATATCTTTGGAGCCCAAAAATGCAAAACCCTTATCAATATTTATCTAAGGAGTATAACAATATCATACAAATAAATTCTGTCTAAGCATGTTGGAGCTGCATTATTCCCAGAAGCAACAGCTGCCCCTCTGATCTCATTATCATTAACTATATAATATAGATTGCTTGAGGTTTTCATCTATATATAAAAATCAACTCTACCAAGAATTAGAATGCAATAAAACAGCGTGTTCAATCGGACCGACCTTCCTTCCTGCCACGCAACTTTATCAATGGCTTGTGTTTCTTGTCTGGTCTTTCAAAATCTCCTCCATTGTTTCGGCTCATAATTCGTAGAGGGTGAGCTTCTGTGTTGAACACCCATTCATCTAGAGGGATGACTGAAGGTGGTGCAAAGAGAAGATAGAGATATTTCAAAGTCTCTGCAAGGAAGAAACTCTGCATCATATTGTCCTTCACACCTGTGTTCACCTGAAAATACCAGTCACCGATGCGTCATTGATAATACATACAGATCAATGACCAAAACAATGACAGATATTTAAGAGTTTGGAGCATGCTTACGTCTTTCAGCCCGACATAACCTGATTCAATCCGGGAATTCTTTTCAAATGCTTGAAATATATTCCAACCCCACTCTTTGTATGTCTTGTTGCCAGTTAGGCGCCAAAGGTAAAAGAGTGATTCTACCGTCTCCGGTCTCAAGATATTCCAAGATGTACCAACACTCATATCCTAAAATTTCCGTTATGTGAAATAACATTAAACCACAATTAAAAAAAAAAATGTTGGCAAGAGATATTAGCAGGTTATTGATACAGACCTCCCCGGAGTAGAAGAAGTAATTCTCCCCAGCCAACTTTGTAGGGGTGGACTGGTAGAAATTATAACACGTCCAGGCAAGCTAGACCCAAAAATTTAAAAGAAACAATTAACAATAATTCAAGATCCAACTTTGAACCAATAAATGAACAGAGAAAACTTGAAACGGCCTGAACGATAATAGGGTTGGAGTGAAACATATACTTCATTAGAAGAGAACTTTTAGCATCAAATCCACTACCCATCTTTCACATCATAGAATAAATAAATCGTCCAAATGCCCAAATTTAAATGTTCAAAGCACACATGTTTTAATAAACTAATTATGCCTGCTTTGTCTAAGCCAAATAATTGAGGAGCAGACCCAAAGAGGAATCTGACCTCGGCTGATACAATATAAGTGGGACCATATTTTCTTCGCAGGCCCACTTCATCAAAGTGCAGCTACTTCAACTGTCGGATTATAGAAGTACAGCCCATTGATTTTGCTATATGATTTTTGGTGTTTGGGGCTTGGGGCTTGGGAAAAAGAAATTGATGTTATTATTTCACATTTAGGCTCTGTTGGACAACTATTTATGTTTTTAGTTTTTGGTATTTCTGTTTCTCTGATTCGTGTCTTCTGTTTTTAATAAACAAAAAATACAAAAAATACAAAAAGTTTCCTTAAGAGTGTCAAATATTCTGAAACAAGCACGCCCCAAATCATCCCATAAGGAGAAAAGCTTACAACTTTTTACCTCTTCTGCAAGTGTTAAATACTTCTTAGAATCTTCAGGATCATAACCAGAAGATCCCAAAGCTATCATTCCTGGAGCAAAGCAGGCCAGTTCATCCATCTGCCAGTCATACAACGTGGACAAAAAAATCCATATTTTACCTTCTCAAAATTATGATAATTGATAGAGAAATTACCCGACATCTTACTTACCTTGTCATTGAGGGCACCTCCATTCTTCTCACAAATATAAGTGAAGGATGATGGCGTTGTTCTTTTAATCAAGGTTGAAAGGCCTTTCATTGACTTCTCCCACATTTCCCTGAATTAAAAATAACAACAAACGGATCTGGTCTATAAAAACATTTGTCATATTAAAAGATTGGAAGTTCAATAATATATACTAAATAATTATAAACATGTACAAAGAACTCATGCATTACGTCAAATATTCCTAACTCTATAACGTAAAATCATTTTTCCTTTAATTTGCTCTTTGCGCTGAGATTATATTTGAAATGGCTCCTTACCTGTAAAGCTTAACATCTGAAGTTTTGTTTCCCTGTATCCATACCTTGAGCAAGTATTCATAAAAGCTGCAATGAATCTTCAAGTTAAAAGGATACCAGTGAAAAATCAAGAGAGGGTTGGAGAAGACTTGAAATGGAGGAAACAAAAAGAAAAAAGGAAAGGAAAACCCTAAGAAAATAAGATGCTCAAAATATCCGTACAAAATCGTAATCTTGAATGAATACCTGTCACCCATGGCACCAAAAGTTATGGTTGCATGTGATGCTTTTCCGTCATTTGGATTAATGTATATGGGAAGCAACCCATCATCGGGGAAACTTTTATTGAGCTGTAATATAACATTCTCAACCTGACATATGATACACAAAATATTCAATTTTCTAGAAGCCAATTGATCCCCAAAATAACACTTTACAATCAGGTAAGGATAATTATTATCATTATTATTATTTTGATTTACTGGGAGTCGTAACTTTGAGCCCCTACCTGCGGCTGCCTCAAGGCCCGAACTCAAGAGACATCAAGGATTTTTTATATTAAGCTCACCGAAAGGTTCGCACTAGAGAACTCTAAGTCAATTTGCCCAAGAGACCCCAAGCCCTTATCAACTAGACTGCCCTTTGAGGCCTATTATTATTATTATTATTATTTTGTGATAAACCAAACTTACATGGAGAGAAAATGAAAAAATATACAAGGGACATACAAAAAACAAGTCCAAAAAAGGGGATCTATCTATAAGAATAGACCCCAATCCAAAAGAACGACATAATTGGTAATTACAAAAAGTGTTAGAAATTGAAACCCAAAGAGAGGTATTAAATCTAACTAGCTCTCAAATTCCCCCCAGCCTGATCCCAACACCTATAAAAGTTCAATTATTCCTCTCAATCCAGATGCACCACAAAATGGCAAAAAACCAAGCCACTAACAGTGGAACGTTAACTGCATATACTAGCAATGGAAATCAATCTCCTAGTATAGAACATAAACAAAACAATAATTGTCATCGTAGCATCTATCAACAACTAAAAGTTAAAACATCACTGAGGCACATATTTCAAGACAACTAACACTTTCAACAACAATATTGGTACACAGCATAAGAGCCACCATTCTATCTGATTTGCGTCACATCTGCAGAGTAATCGAGTTTAAGTTAGACAACAGTAAGACAGCACTGATAGAAATAGACCTTCTCCTGATACTTTGGATCTCCCGTCCTTTGTGATAGCGAAATGAACTCTAGCTGCTCAGTACCAGCATCTGCAAGGATACTGGAACCCTAAGAAAAAAGGACATTATTAGCTTAATCAGAAAAAGAGTAATAATTATAAAATATTTTAGAAAGATATACTATCATCAAACAAAAGGAATTACAACTACGGAAGCTCATATCATAGCTAAAAAACCCCTCTAGTTAGCATGAGTGAAAATAGACACCAAACACTATAAATTGGATAAAAATAAGGTAAATAAAGGAAATTCACCAAAGGAGTATATTTGATAAAAACTCCCCATAATTCAGATATCATGATTGATTATGGGATTAAAAACTAATGATGACACCCAAAGTATATTTATTATATAGATGGGAGTGTCTGATGTAAATAATCCAGAAAGGATAACCAGGATTAAACTTCAATACATGTGGGGATTTCAATATAAACGTGAATTTCTTGGTCTCCAAAAGAAGTGGAAGTCTGAAAGCAGCATGCAAGTTCAGAGGTAAGAGCCATCTTGCTTCCATACAAGGATATGTAAGTAGCTTCATATCATAGTCTCGGACAGGACATGAAAGCATTATCCTAACATTTTGAATGCAATGGAAAACTAGAAAAATTGCAACAGTTTGTAGAACTTACCCCAGTCCATGTAGGATTATGAGGTCTTCCATTAGCCAAATTTATGAAGTTATAAGGGATGCCTGAAGGGGTATTCCATGCTGGAAGCAACCTATCTGCTAAATCCCTAGCCTTGTCAAGAAAAATCTTGTCACCGGAGAGATCATATGAACTGAGAAGTCCACCTACAACTCTGCATCCAATCAAAATAAAGCACTTATGAACAAACAAAATGTGGCTACAACTCTCCTTGAATTTCTCATTACCCAAAAAGCCATAATTCTGATGGTCCTTCCAAAACAAAGACAACTTAAAATTTAATGACATATTAAACCTTATTACGCAACCTTATGGTTGTCTCAAAAACACTAGCATCATAATCCTTGTTGAAATCCAATGAGCTCGCAACCCACCTGTAAAGTGAAGCAATATTAGAAAGGCATCTGATTTGTTTGCATGATTCTTTGGACACAACATAAATACGCATAGGGCATTGGCCAAACATATTTCTACTAGGCAATATAGAATTATTGGTTAGAATTAGACTTTAAAATGTTCAGGTATTCTTATACGATAAACAAACATATCATAACATTTTTTTTATGAGAACAAACATATCATAATATGGATCACCAACTAAACTGAATATCTTAGATTGAATCTTGGCAAGAAGGATTGGCATGTGGTAAAATACTTTTTTTTTTAATATCCGTGTGTCCAAGCCAACTTGCATGCACTTCGACTAATCACGAGCCAACCGCCTGACTCTACTACATTTGATTGACAATGAAACTCGTAAGATATTAAATCCTAGGTAGGTGGCCACCATGGTTTAAACCCATTCTCTCTCGGCCCTTTGCTATTACATTGACCCTTATGGACCACTAGGGAGAAATAGAATCATCAAAGAGTAATCTGCTCAGAGTATGCAGCAAACAAATTCTAATGACATCTAGATGCTGTTTTGGCTCACAGGAAGAACAAAAGATCTAAAGATTTAATGGAGAGTCAACATTAGTCATGTGCATTAAAAAATGAAAAGAAAGAAGTATTCAAAACACTCACTCTTTAGCTCTTTGGAATTGCTCATCAAGACCCATGATATACAATGTATCAAGAGCGTCTATTAGCGTTGCTCCAAGACCACCAAAGCTATTGATACCATTTTTTGATTGTGGCTAGTCTCACCCAAAATTAAGAGAAATTAGAAAATATAAAGTTGTTACCATCGACTTGAATGCTATATTTTAAGTTGAAAAATACAAATAGTAAAAATAACATAGGAAGACAAAAGAGCAATCAATCATAAATTATAAAATTTTAGGATGTTTAAAGAGTGGATAATTACACGTTTGGTGCTACATCTAATTCTAAACCCAAATTACTTGATATGTTGTTCTTTTGGTAAATCAATTCTTTTATTCAGGGCATCTTAATGATTTCTACAAAATGCAGAAACCAAAATATTAAGAGAGAGAGATATATATATATCGTAATTCATTTTAACTCTGTCAAAGAACCCCAAGACTGGGTAAAGAGGAGATCCCTGCAATTCCCTGTTTTGATTGTCGTATTAATGAGCTGCATAAATTAATTTGTTACAAATAATATGTAGGATAATGCATAAGATGGGCTAATGCTGTTTGTTACAATGGAAATGAGAAGTCCCTAATGCAAGGGTAATGAATGGGAAGATTGGGTTTGCTCGCTATTGTTCAAATGTATTCACGTCCTATATATTGTTTTTTATGTCGTTTCAGGACAAAAGAAAAAAAAGAGGGAAAGAGCACAGATTTGTAATTTTGAACATCATTTATACCTAAAATATGACAACTACTAGTAGCTTGATCAGAACATGAACTTAAACCCTCAAACCAATTCATATAAATTGAATATTAACTTAAAATGAAATAGTGCATCAGCACTTTAAGAGATTATATTATGCAGGGAAAAGGTCATCATACCTGCAGTTCGTCTTGTCCCCAAGCATACTTCTCATAGGAACTCCAGGCATGAATCATTGCTTCTTTGACTTTCTCTCTCCGCTCAGCATCAATAGGATCATCAACCTCCTCCTCCTTGGACTCTTCACTAGCTCTGACATTACCATTCCCTGTCTTATAGTTAGATTCTTCTACCTGAACATACAACTTTTCTGGTTAATCCACTCATATAGGCATATGAAAAGGTTGAATGGAAGAAGCCTAGCTCGGTATAAAGGAGGAATAAGCATATCAAATCTCTTACCAGACTTTTCAGTCGTAGCACCTCTGCATTTAACTTCGCAAGCTCCTCCTATACAGCAGTAATGAATACATCATAAGCTGGAAAAGAATATGCTAGGAAACAAAATACTCCCAAACTGAGAGAATTGCAATGGAAATTTTTCCTAACATTAGTGTCCAGGGATACCCCAAATGTCAAAACATATTTGAGCTTTTCATGTTATGTGGCACCCAGAAACTAGTCATTGACATTGATAACAAAAGCGTGTTTTGGAAACAAGACATTATATTCATAGAAGGAAAATTTGAACTTGGTCCTACTGGATAGAGTAGGTTATGATCTCGTCGACTGGCTTTTTCAGATCAGTAGTGTAAAGCCAGTGCAGACAGGTTTGGTTAATTAAAACGGACAATAACTATGGAAGGTTTGACTAGGAAATAAGATGAGTCGTAGTTCCAAAAAAGAGAAAACCCAAGACGGAACTCAGGGAGTGCAAAAGGGAATTTTTGTTTCTTTGAATGAGAACCCCTAGCAGGCATTACCATCCATACTCGATGGTTGATCAAGCAAATTTGTTCTTCGACTCTATGACACGGACAATGTGGTGTGCAGAAGTATCATAGCAAAACCCACCATTTGTAGCATATTTCATGAGGCCAAACATGTGTAATTATCGGTTTCTACAACTTGGGTTGCGTAGCCTGGGACATATACTTGTGTCAAGCCTGAACTAAACTAACTCTTGTCGCGAGAGATATAAAAAAGAGAGACCGAGATTTCTAATTTTTTAGATCAAATCTACTGAACTAGTGCCGTTTTCCAAGAAGTAGATATTAGGAGGACAAGACCCGGTCAAACAAAGAAATATCAAAAATTCGGATGCTAGGCTAGGCTGGTTGCATTTTTCTCACGTTCCAAGGTCCTAAAGAACCAGGCAACCCAACTTAGAACTTAGACGACCCCTTTAACAGATTTTCCTCGTAAAATCTCATAAAATTCAAATCAATTCAACTAAACATTTGAGAATGGACTCTCCATTGGAAAATTAACAGTACCTCATGTTCTTTGAGCAGAGTCTGTCGGTCCCAGATTAGTAAACTAGCACAAGCAAATGCCACGAGAAGAAAAGCCAAACGTTTCGGTCTCTTCAGGTAGTACGATGGATGACAGTACCTCCATTTGCTTGTAGACGATCTGGTCCTAGCCATGGGATCTCAGAACGAACTCTACCCCGACAAATCACCTTTCCCAGATTCACTATCAGAAAATAATTTCCCACTCGCCGTCGAGTGATCTAACACATAACGCGACGGCGTGCCAAAACACGCAAAAGCAGCATAATTTATGAAGAGAGGGAGAAAAAAAGAGGCAAAAATCGAAGCATTTCGTGATGAAATGATGTTAGTAAAGATCGCGAGTTGGAGATGCGTTTCTGATGTTTGAAGCAAACTGGGAAATGGCAACGGAAGAGACGGTGAAGGACGGTATTGAACGAAGATCGCAGAGAAAAAAGTGGGGATTTTCAGTAATATGGAAAATGTTAATTTAATTGTTCGTGGAGATTAAGCTTCCGGTTTTCTTCACTGACCAGCATGGTCCACCAACCAATAACATTTTGACACGTTGTCAACTTAATTGGACGCTGGTTAACTTTAAACAAACACCGTAATCTGCGATGGAAAATAATCGGCACCATCAAAAGTGAAAAATCACACTTGACTTTACTATATTTTTCTTTTTTTAATAAAACTAAAATGATATCTCGTGAAAGAAAATTCGAAATATATCTTCCATTCCCATATTTATATTTATAGTACTAATACAAATAATAATAATAATATAAAATTAAATTAAGTATATCAATCTATTATGTGTTCTTTCGGAAAAAAAATATTGTTTTGCTTGTTGTGTTTACTTTATTCGTTGATTTTTAAGACATGTTTATTTGATTTTGAATTATTGTATAAATATTAACCATCAAAGAGCGCCCAAGCGCTTTTTAGGCCTGCTCCGTTCATGTATGGTACAATTTTATTTTATAAACTTACATACAAAATATTGTACCATTTAATTTTCTAAGTTGATAAATCAATGATAATATTATATATCGTAATCTATACCTAACTCAACTAGTTAATACACCTATATTTTTATCAAAATTATGTGAGTTGAAATTTCCGTTCCCATCAAATGAAATATCATGTAAAATTTACATTAAATACCATTAAAGTAGTAAAAAAAATCAAACTTGGAAGAGTTTTTTTATGACCGCATGATTGAGTTTGCAAATTGAGCAATTAAATTCTAAACATATTTATATAATTATTTCTTATATGATATAAATGTGACATTTGTAGATTAAAAAATGTGTCAACTATTTCCTAGTTGCCCTGACACTTGTTGTGAAGGAACAAGTAATCCTGATTTCCAGTCAGTCTTAAGATTAGGAAAATCACAAACATTAGTTGTAAAATTATTGGCCTAAATATCTTTTAGCTGCTTGCACTCGGTAGACTTGACTGTTTTGTGATATATCATGTGCACCAGTGGTCAATCGAGAAATCTTTATCCAACATAATTGTGTTTGTAGTAATCAGATTATTATAAATATGTCTTACATTTTTCTTAAAAAATAGCACACTATGTGAGTTATATTTACGATGATTATAATTGAATGGTTTGTTAATTTTCGTATTACTTATGACAAATTCATATACATATAACATATTTTGTAAGAATGAATAATCGATAAGAAACGAGACATACATTGATCAAATGGAAAGGAAGATCACAGTCCAAGCAAAGTAAGTACATTACAACACTTAACGAAGTCCAAATACCCAAAAGAACAACATCAAAGCGCCAAAAATGTGTCATAGCACCCACATAACAAAAACACAAAGCTGAAATTTTTTGGCTGTAAAGACTAGTGCCGCGCTGCAATTCTTTGCTCACAAATGACGTTGCCACTCCTTTTATATATATATATTTTCAGGTACAATAAGTGAGAATATATATATTATTTTTGTGGGTACAACAAGTGAGAGTGAAATATTTGAATTCACGAGAGGCATTACATGTGTTGCTTATCAGTTAATTCGCCCCGGATTTCATATATTCTTCCCAATTTATAGTTACTTTTGATCGAGAATAATCAATTTTTATCCGGATATTGGTAGAGTTATGATGGTAAATTTGGTAATATTCGAGATTTAATACTCGCTGTCCAGATTAAAGGCCAGAGGGTGTGATTGAAGTGGTTTTTGAATTTTTTCAAAATAAAAATTAAGTAAACCTTAAAAAAAGAAAGAAAGAAAGAAAGATGAATATTCTTAAAAAAAAAGAGAAAAAAAAGAAAGAAAGATGGAAAAGTAAAATTAGTTCAAAATTCCCAATTCCCAATTCAGACGACTTGGGCCCTAAAAATCCCAAATCATAATCTGCGTCAAACAGAGGACATTCAGATTTCAGACGTCTGTGTGGGTGTGGAGTTTCTAGAACCTTCTCTTCTGTGCTCCTCAATCCGCCGTTGGTTTTAGATCCCGTCTTCGACCCCTCCCGTAATCCCGTTCCCGAGGAGAGATCTTCCACCTGAAATACAAATGTAATCTTGGATCGTCTCCTTTTCAAACCAAGAACGAGATTGCATTTGCTGTGTTGCGGTTTTCGTGTTCGTCTGTTGGATTATCACTCTATTGGATGGTAATTTCTTTCAACTAATTCTCAATCCCTTTCTCGGCTTTGATCACTCGCTGTTTTTCTCTCCCTCTATCTTTTTCTTTCCCGAAAATGGGGGAAATTATCTTCTTCAACTCAATACACATTGTCATTGAATTATTCACAAATTACTTCAAACTTGGTTCTTAATTATCAACTCGATATCCTCGTTCGTACTCACGGATTTTTGTTGTTGTTGTTGTTTGGTATTGCGTGTTTGGCATTCAATTGACAGGGCTAGGATGGACCCGCCCTTTAGTATCTAAAAATTAATCAAGCCTTTTTCTTCCGGTGTTCTGGCGGGAGCAGTGTAATGGACGGGATTCATGCGAGCGATGGACGGATGCATATGGGCCATGCACAGCATTCGATACAATCTGTGCAAGACCCGGAACATCATGACTTGCACTATATGAGCAATGGGAATGGAATGTCCGATGAGCATGAAAATGAAGGTCATGGTATCATGGTTGTGGAAAGGGAAGCTCCATCCGACCATGGTGATCTTGCTGAGAATCGTGGTGTAATGGTGGATCGAGGAGGCGATAACTGTGATCAGCTGACCCTGTCATATCAGGGTCAAGTTTACGTCTTCGATTCTGTCTCGCCTGAAAAGGTCTATTGATTCTTCTTCTTGTTCTGTTTTTGCCGTCGCTTTACCAAGTTAAAAAACTGACTAGCGAATTTTTCAAGTGACATCTTATGTTGGGACAACACAACCTTTGCATACTTTGTTGCCTGTCCAAGTTCTCTCCATAGTTGTAAACACTGAAAACACTGTCGAGTCAGATTGGTCTTCCGCTGTCTGCGCCTGAAGTATCTTTCATGTTTCGTTTTGACTTAGATATTGTAAATTGACTCGGACATGGTTATCAGACATGCTTTTATGAATTAAGTCACATTTTGAGGGCTTACAGGTGATGGATGGGGATAAATGGATGGTTTATACATGTTAAAATGTGAATGCAAGTTATTTAGTGGCATGCACATTGACAGAAAAGTAGAATTGAGTATTCCAGGAATTGTTAATGCTAGGTGAAGGTTAAATTTATAAAAGTATAGGCTGAAGTTTGCTGATAACCAATGGATCAACCCCTAATTATCTTTGGAGACCTTATCCAGCTCAGAATATTTTCTGTTACTACGATGGACTTCTTGTTTGTCACTACACAGGCTTAATATAAAATTCCTTTAAATATGTTTTTTATTTTATTTTATTTTTTCACTCAACCACTTCTTAGAGAACTCATCTCATTAGGAACAGGATTTACAAATAACTTGCTGTTATTTGAAATGTTTTGATATGCTACTCTGTCTATGTTTAGGCTATTTATTCTTTTTTATGTCCAAATAGAAATATTGGTTACTTATCTGAAGTTCCTTTTTGTACGTTAGTTTTTATAGTTTGTTAATACACTGGTTCAATGGTTACCCATTTTTAAAATAATCTAAAGAACTACATGTCAGGTTCAAGCCGTGTTATTATTATTGGGAGGTCGTGAAGTACCTTTGCGTGTTCCTTCAATCCCAATAAGTAATCAACAAAATGATAGGGTACGTATTCATGCTTATCCACATGTCCCTGTATCTTATTGTGCTATCTAATAAAAGAATGACGTGTTATCTCATATGTAGCACCTCACTGATGAAGCATTTAACCAGGCACTTGCCAGTATCCCCCCACGTCTAAGTGTCCCTCAGAGATTAGCTTCTTTGATTAGATTTCGTGAAAAGCGAAAGGAACGTAATTTTGACAAGAAAATTCGGTATACAGTTCGTAAAGAGGTAGCACTTAGGTATCTCGCCTTCCTTTATTGTTGTTTGAATTATTTTTTTCCCTTATATAAATAAGTCATCTATTATTTCACCTTAAATAGTTCCTTCTTCCACTAGTTGAGAGTTAATGCTGTATGTTCCTAATATGATGGAACTTAGTTTGATTTAAACATGATTTTTCCACTGATGGTAGGAGTTGTTTAGTCCATGTAGTTTTGTAAAAATGGGGAAGCAAATGACAAGAATGTGTGAAATTCTTATAACACGACAAATGAATACTTTAATGCGTCTTTATTTTGCCTACCTGTTTTCATCCTGATGATTGCTCTCTTCTCTCTGAATCAGCAAAGTTTTTTGCTATTAGAACATTTCCTGAGGTTAGTTTCACTAATCACTATGCCTATTTATGAGAATTGAAGAGAGCTTTTGAGGCTGGAAACAGCTTTAGGTAGTGTCTGACTTGAATTTAGTCCTCAAAATTTGTGTTAAGTATCCAGTGTCAGTTGCTAATTGTACTTCAGTTTATGGTTTCTTTATTGACTCTCTAATCTTGGAGAAGGTAGTTTATATGCTTTCTCACTGGTAACTGGGTCGGGTTAATAAAAGATATTAGCAAGTTGAAAAAGATTACTGGGCTTATATTTATTGCTTTGCATTGTTCTTATCCTTGTAGGATGCAGCGTAATAAAGGTCAATTTACATCTTCTAAACCCATTCATGAAGATTCATCATCAGCCATAACAAGTTGGGAATCAAATGAGAGCTGGAGCACTGATGGCAACGGATCCCAACAACAAGAAATTCTGTTAGTTTTTCTTATGATTTCCTGAATGACTACTATTTAAAGGGTCATGATTATTACTATAACTGTTGTTTAATGCTGGATTGATCCATTCATAATTTTAATCTCACTGACCTGTAGCTGCCGACACTGTGGTACAAGTGAGAAATCTACACCAATGATGCGACGTGGACCTGATGGGCCAAGAACCCTTTGCAACGCTTGTGGACTCATGTGGGCAAACAAGGTAGTATCAAACATTAACATCATTTTATCTAAAGATATCTTTCTTTAGAAATGTGCATTATGTCTCGTGATCCAAGCTTAAAGGATATTATCAAATTTAGCAAATCTGAGATCTTGGGCATAAATGTTGATGAATCATACATGATCTCTTGCCCTATAACATTGGTTGCAAGCGTGGCAAATAACCCACCTTTTATTTCAATCTTCCCCTCAGTGACAACCCTAGTTCCTCCTTTGTTTGGGCTCCTATCTTTGTGAAAGTTATAAGCTACAAAAATGGAGTAATTCCACTACATCTACATCTAAAGTGGGGCACCTCACTCTTATACAAGCCACTCTTTACTATCTCCCCATTTATTATTTGTCCCTTTTCCTGAGGTGATCATTGATCTGGATAAGCTTTTTAGATATTTTCTTTGGAACTGAGGTGATCATTGATCTGGAGAAGCTTTTTAGATATTTTCTTTGGAAGTCATAAGAAATAGGATGGCTTTCATTTACTTAACTGGAAAAAGGTTCTATATCATATAAAGGGAGGGGCTTCGCATTGGTAATTTCAAGTGAAGGAATAGTTCTCTTCTTAAAAATTGGATTTTGAGAATTTGCACATACCAAAGGCTCGGTGGATGAAAATCTTGGAGGCTAAATCTTGCACTACTCATGTTGGTTCCAGGCTAGGTACTCTCTTTCTACTCTTCTAATGGCCTTGGCAACATATTATTAATCAAGCATGAGAATCTTGTCTATCCTAGAATCTAGAATCAAAGAAGCTGTGGCCAATAATTCTTCCACATTCCTTTGGGAGGATTTGTGGCTTAGTGATGCCCCCTTAGCTGTGGCTTGCCTGAGGATCTTCTCTTTATCTACTCGAGAAGCAGCATTGATGAAGGATTCATGGTGTTCCTTATCCAACTTTTAGTGGCACAAGGAGAAATCTCAAGGACGATGAAATACTTGGATGGGCATCTTTAACCCTTGATCTCCAGTTTTTATCCATTTTTTTTGTAAGATCGTAATTACAAAAAATGTCTTCATGGAAAAGTTGAACTTCCTTAAACGTCAGTTGATTAGATGGAACAAGGAGAAGTTTGGGATTATTGAGTGAGACAAGAGAACCCTTCAGCAAGCGATAGATGCTATTGACAAGTAGGAAGAACTGGGCCTTCTAAACCCAGTTCCAAATAATTAGATATGCTTCTTAGCGGGCAGCTTACAGTTTTAGTGATTAAAGAATTCTGACTCTGGTCTCAGAAATGCAAACAGCAGTGACTGAAACAGGGGGACGAAAACACAAATTTTTTCCACAAGTGGGATTCAGCTAGAAAGAACAAAAACTTTACTTCTGCCTTAGAAGACAACAGTGGTTGGCTACGGACAGAGGATGCAGAAATTGAACAAGAAATAGGGAGTTTTTTCAAGAACTTGTATGACAGCCCTCAAGGTCAAAGATTCACTTTGGATGGAGTGGATTGGGAACCTCTAAGTGACAACTGGAGGAACTGGCTTGAAGAGCCTTTTAAAGAAGAAGAGATTTTAAGAGGAATTTGAAGTCTCCCGACCCTGATGGAAAGACAAATTAGTTTTATAAAAAAGACTTGGAACATCTTGAAAACTAACATCTAACATAGTAAAGGTGTTCTAAGATTTTTTTTTTTTGAGAACTGCATTATTAACAACCGCATCAAGGAGACCTATATTTGTCTCGTACCAAAGAAACTAAGGTGAATAGGGTGAGTGAGTACAAACCTATTAGCTTGGTGACTTATTTGTACAAGATTCTGAGTGAGTACAAAATTATGAGTACAAACCTATCAGCCTGATAACTGAGATTCTGCTCTAGTGAGGAGAATGCACCATCGTGCTACCATGACCTCATTTCGACAACAGTTGATATACCATATCAGAAACTTAAGGAAAATGTATTATTAAGGGTGTATCCTCAACCCTTTCGTGCCGAAAATTTGTACAAGCTGGAAGGATGGGTTTAGATGGAGTTTGTATTAAATTTAAGAAATTGCATGCCCAAAAGCATGGGATGCGAATCTGGGGTTTTTCCTAGTTATAGGGGTGAAAAAGACCATGAGGTATCAATTACATTGACGTTTAGGAGAGAATTGTGGTAGCATTATCTAACGTGCAACACTTTGTGCAACACACAAATTGTTAATATTAAATTATCTTGTATTTTCTATTATCAGAAGCTGATGTCCTTTCTTGTAATTTGCTTACGTCCTCCGTTGGCACTTTTGGCATGTTTTCTGCTTTTTTTTTTGTACTTTCATCATCGTACGGAAAGCTGATTTTTCATCATTAAAAAAAGAATCCAAGTGTTTGTCAAAGAAATTGTCAGAACCAAGACCATGCCATCTCTTATATTTTTCTTTTGCTGGAACTCTTTGCCCGTCTTTGTTTCAAGATTTTAGTATCCGGGGTGTTGGCCGGCCTAACAATTTTCTGGATTTCCTCATGCAAAACTTTTCCATTCATGGTTTGTCAGAATTTGCTTAGACATTTCTGGATCATCTTTGTTTCGCTAATATTTAAGGGTATTGGGGATCTGAATTGCCTTTCTTTGATAATAGACGAATTCTAATTTGCTTTGCTGTGGCTTACAAGGGAACTCTGCGGGACCTCTCAAAAGCACCAAACCAGGGTGGACAAGCTTCAACCTTAAACAGAAACGAGGTAAACCGTTTGTTGTGTTTTCTTATCTTGTTGAAGTTCTTGCTATTCTCACCATGTCTACATGAATTTGTTTATAGAATGTTTTGCAGAATGGAGATTCTGAGTCCGATCCAAAAAGTGCTTAGTCGTACGACAGGTGTTTATGATTGCTGTCTGAGGCATTTAGAAAGAAATCAGACGGGCTCCTACAGATTAGATTGAAAAGGGTTAGTCAAATTTTACACCAATGAGTAATTGGATTACGCTTCCCACCCATCGACCGAGTCTTGTATCTTCTGGCCAATTCATCTTGAAAACAACAGGGGTACTGTGCTCGTGTAGTGATGATTTATTAGCATTTCCTATTATATTGTGAACTGTCTCAACATGTTGAAATTCTTAGAAATCTTGTAAATTAGTCATTTGTTGCAGTTGTACAATGGATGGGTTTTTTAATCAATTTTTTTTCTTCATATAGTATGGTCTCTTGCACTTTAGCCTTGTCTTTGTACATGGTCTCTTCAATGGTTAACACTAGCATTATTGGGCACAGGCAGGGCCAAATCTGAACGTGAAATTTGGTATATACTTTTGACTGCAAATCACCCCAGTCCTCATCAAGTCTAATATACAAGACTGTAAGTTCTGCACTACGAAACAAGACGCCTAATATATGTTCGTAAATCCGTCTCTGATTTATTTGATTTGTTTGATTTTCTACATTGTGCGCCTCTCTCAACTGGTGGAAAACATGTTTGTAACGTGATAAAATGGATGCTATCACACTTGGGTACTCCCATAAAAATAAAGCTTTGCCAAAATTCAATTTTAGTGCTGAATGCAATTCAATGTAGCATCAGGATTGTGTCTTCTTCCCACACAAGATGAAAGCGTGGACAAGTCTCTGGGCAGCCCGAATCTGATCTGGTGAGCCAGACACGATCACTTTACCATCAAACATCCCAGATTTAGCATCATGAACCACCACCATCGCCCCTGATATCTGCCACAATTACATAAAGTCACGTTAAAGCCGAAACCGATACCGATGGCAGCTACCTCTGACTAACCTTTGTAATAGACAAACCTGCTGTACGTGAGCAATGTTAGAGTTGCTCTCTCCATAGATGTGGCAGATTAAAGTTTGTGGAATCACTATCTCCACAGATGATGTGCCTGCCAGAAAATGAGCTGGACCCCCACTGTTCAAACAAAATTCTTATTTCAAACTAATGAATAAACCCTTGAAACATATGTTAAGGTACAAAGAAATACGGTGCGTTCCCCCACGACCGCCAAGTTTACGAGGTAGCATTATGAAAGGTTTAAACATGTTAGACATAATGACCACTGTGGTCATCCTGAAAGAAAAATCCAAGATTAAAGTTCAGAGAAAGAAGAACTACCTGCTGTAGTTCTCATTCCTTGAAACCATGCCAAAACCAACATCAGTTGGTGCCTTGTGTACTTCACTACTAACAACCTGAATGAAATACAACAAACAAAAAGGTTTTCCAATCAGTTTGCCACAACAAAGAAACATGGGTTTTCAAAAATCCAAGCAATGACCTGAGGAGTCCACGATCTGGGAGATGGTCCATCAAAAGGACCTGGCCCTGGTCTCTCAATACCATGGGGATATGGAACTCCATCCATGTTATTACCACTGAAACTTGAACTATGAGAATATGGAGGCTGATGGTCGAGTGAGTGGGGATGAAAAGGTCCACGATGACCTCCAGCTTGAGAAGGATAGCATCCAGGGGAATGTGCGTTATGTCCAGGCCTAAATAAGGGGGGAGGAGTTTCTGGGAGAGGAGACAGGTAAGATGGAGCATTGAAGTTTGGCACGTGTGGCCTCATTACGAACATAGTATCTCTAAGCCGATTTGTTATATGAAACAAAGCATCCTGTACAGACTGCAAACTTCCAATGACCTGCCATGGACATTAATCATAATCAGGTTTCAACAGAAAATTGGACCAGAAGTAAATTTATACAGTAACAAAGATTTAATTTAATGAACAAGTATCAACTTAAGGCGATTAAAACTTCTTTTACTGATCATTACAAGCTTTCGAACTGCTAACAAGATTAAAGGCTGAGAACTCCGACATGTAGCAAAAGATCCTTTTCTTGGAAACAATAACATACTAAAACAACAGAAAATGACATGTGACAGGTAGAGTCATATTGGCTTCAGTTATTCTTTTATTTCATGTTTACTTGCAAGGAAATTCTAACTCACAAATTGGTTATGGTACCAACTTAATGTTTCGATGCCACAATTGTAAATCAGTTAACTCCACTTTGGACAAGCCACACAATCATGCACTCCTCACGTCAAAAGGAGCGAGGAAGTTTCTACGAGTAGTCAATAAATCGTGCCTATTCCCTTATGCTAGCAGTCAGAAAAGAGAAAACACAGTTTTGATAGAGAACTGATAAGAGTTGTTAGCAACAATCTGCAAAACGCAGAATTGTGAATCCATGCCCCAAATAAATGAGACGTAATGGTGAAACCACCATTCATTAGAAATAAACTGGTATTTGATTACTCCAACAAAAAGTGCTCCATTTGGCTAAGAGAGCAGACTTCTTGGCAGCCAAACTACCTAAGCCCACTCCTCCCAATGACGTAGGGAGTGCAATCGCCTTCCATCTAAAATGGCTTACTTGGGGCATTTAAAGATTGAGGGATAATATTAGGATTTGGGGAATGCTTGAGAGAACAGACGTTGCCAATGTTAGTCTACACCACTGGAGAGTCAGAGAGTTTTTGAGAGTGGGGATATCTCATCTCCCCTTTTTTTTTTCTCCTTTCTAATAATGAAAATTTCATTGCTTACCAAAAAAAGAATGCTCAAATTTGTAGGAAGCCAGTAAAGAAGGGACTTGAGGGAGGATTTCTTATTATATATGACCCGATGCTATATTTTCACTTGTACTAAGATTTGAGCATTCATGCACATCTTGACTAAACCATCATATAACCCTGCAACATTTGGATATACGTTAACCAAAAAAATGAGAAATTTATATGTTATATCCTAGATAGTTGTCCACTATGTTTCAAACCCATGAATTAAAACATATCTAGATTTGCAACTTTAACCAACATAGTGATAGTTGTTGATCTAAATACTTAACATCTTTTTATGAATGGAAAAGAATCAAGTAGACTCTACAACAAGAAAGTAGAAGATGAACACCTCCATAATCATGTATTTATCAGCATGCAAGATTGTATAGCAAGCTACGACAAATAATAGATAGCAACGATGCAAGAAGCACAGTGATGTAAGAAGATGTAAATTACCTGAACTACTTCGTCGTTCACAGGCCCACTGTTTTGAATTTGCTCCCGAGGAAAAATGTGTATGCTAGTACCAGTTCCTCTTCTCATTTCACTAATAATATGACCTCCTCTGCCCACCAAATAACCTATTTGCTGTGCATGTACAAGAAGTCTAGCAACAACTGCAGCACCTGGTTCATATCCAATCTCTGCAATTCGACAATGTACACGTATAACAGCTTCTTGTGCAGGAGAATATGTTTGCTCCAAACTCTGAGATGTAATTAAGAAGGAAAAGAAAAAAGAGAGCAGTTCTAAGGAAAGGACTTGCAATTAAAACTGTTATTGTCTAGATAGGTTTCAAAGATTCGTGAAATGATATATAAACATATGAATAGATAAACTCCTAACAAAGTAATACAAGTATAAGTAATTCATCATTGTGCCTTGTTAAGACGAGCCCCTGATGTGGATTGTGTTTTACATAGAAATAGCTGCCCCACCTCTTTTCTTGGGAGAGAAATTAATCTAATATCATATTCGATATAACCTCAAATTGGTATTAGAGCTTCGAGCCTTATGCCATGTCCATAGATACTAGAGCATAAGAGAGCACTTTAACCTAATACCATCTTTGATATAACCTCAAGTAGGTATCAGAACTTTGGGCTTGTTCCATGCCCCTCAGGCACCACTGCTCCAGTGAGCTCAAATTTATCTCTTGCCACAAGCCAAACTATAAGCCCCTTGATAACGGTCAAAAACTGCACCTCAACCTTTGGAAACCCACTAACCAAAATTCAAAGACTCCATAAAAATTCGTTCTTTGGAAATCTCCATGGCCATTTAATGAATAAGATTAGAAAACAGGGTGTAACAAAGAGTAATCCTACCTCCCCTAGACAAACCATAGTTCTTCCACTAACTTTGCTTGAAATTATTTCCACCATTGGACTCCAAAACTCTGAATTTTTCGGATTCCCCTTATTCTAGAGAAGAATGTGCACATATGTTCCAGCCCAAAGGGTATATAAACGAAAACAAACCTAATCATGCGGTGTAAGCTAAGGAAAGCATTCTGAAAAAGCTGCAAGAGTTTGGTGTAGAAAATTGTGAAATATCTTTACTTTATTGAAATATGGCATTCAGAATTACAAATCTTATTCATCCCTATCCTTGTCCTTGAGAGAAACAATAACTTAGTCTATTTCTTACTCTATGTCGATCAAGGAACAACAACACACTGATCAAAAGGGAGCGCGTTTCATGAAATAACTGCAACGTCTTGATCTAAGAAGTATGGATATGGACACGAGACATGGATATGGCATGGACACGGCAAGAACACTACAATTTTTTAGGAAGGAAATTTAAAGTCAATAAGCTTATACATTTTTATGTATAAAAAAAATTAGTTTGATGTATTTTACGCTCAAAGTTTATTATTTTGTCCTATACTGCTATTTATGTCTATTTCTTATGTCCAACAAGTGTTCCATATGTGCGTAACAAGTGTGGAATCCATATTCACTTTTTACTAGTAGTGTGTGACACATGTATATTAAGCTATCAAGTGTCCAATACGTGTACGATAAGTGTGTCCAATATATGTTCCATAAGTGTCGGAGTATTCGACACGTGTCTGACCCGTACATGTTATCCAAAATGAAGTGTTTTTGCTTCTTAGGCGATCTTTTTCCATGACCCAATAAAAATTAGAAATAAAATGAAAAAAAGAGGAAAGGTAAATTAATGCAAATAGTTGTCAAATATACGTGCAAGTATGAAGTAAAATTGTAGGAATTGCATCTCAGGTTCAAAAACACCTACAAAATCCTACCTCTCGTGCAGATATCATAACAACGCGTTCATCCAAGTCAGGTGTGTCGACGATCTTTATAGATGCACCTGTTTCATTTTGCAAAGCTCGTACTATGGTGCCACCTTTCCCTATTAGACTTCCAACTTTATCGGGTTGACACAACAATCTAAACACCACATCCTCTTCCATAACCGCTCTATGACCAGCTCCAACATTTTCATGTCCTGGTAGGGAAGAATAACCCCTTGAGCGATAGTCTGCATTATGATGGCCAGTATATCTCCTTTTAGGAGAAGGCTCTTCATCTTGTACCGGCATACAATTGGCGTGGGACACGGGTGGTCCCAATGGTCTTGTAGCGCAAGAGTTGATCGAGTCCACCCTTGGGCTATCCTGAAGACAGCCTGAAACAGAAAAAAGGGCCTTCTTCACCGCCGGAAAGCTTCCTGTTATCTGCATACCACGTACACTTTCAGACAGCACGAAATGAATAAGAAGACAGAAAGTTATAAGAACTGGAACTTTTGATTTCAAGCGCGACGTATTACTTGAATTAGCTCATCCCCTGGCGACGCGCAGGCGGGAATTTGATCCTTGGGCAAAAACTTTACATGAGCCATACTCTCTTGCCTGATCTTCTCCACAACTTTTCCTACTCTACCAAGCACACGCCCTACCTGATTACTGGGCGCCAGCAGCCTGCAGACCACCAACCCGTCAATTTCTCCACTGCTAATGCTAATCCGATCGTTTGAAGCAGAATTTGCATATTTCTTTCCATTCTCTTGGTCTTCTCCTCTGTACTCGTTCATCGTAACCATAGTCTCAAATATTCGAAGCAGCGCCTGCTGCGCCTGCGACCCCTCGTCCGAATCTCCAGCAACCGCATCATTAGAGATGATGTGACTAGCATCGTGATCACGGAGTTCTGTATCATTTCCAGGATTAATGAGCGTGGGTTTGGATGGGGAGCCGGGAAGGACGACAACGATGCACTCGTCGCATCCAGGAAGAGGTTCATCGACGGTGATCCTGGCGCCGGGAGTATCGCAGAGATGGCGAACGATGGAGGCCGGGCAAAGGAGGCGAAAGACGGTGTCGGAGGGAGATGAGGGTTTAAGAACAGGAGAATCTCTGAAGGTAGAGTTTAGGGTCAATGTCGGTGGAGCAGTGGTGGATAGCGGCGGCGGCGGCGGAGCTAGGTGTCTTGGGCGGACGGAGCGAGCGGCGGAGATGGCGTCCGATGGACGTTTGGGGCTGAAACTGGTATCCATTGACTGAATTGTCCGATCATGCCATCCATTAGTAAAATACTCTCGTGATTCTCCTACTATATTTATTTATTATAAAATTTTAATTTTTACTTCTTTAATAATTTGATTTTCAGGTAAATATATTTATTGATGATTAAAATATCAAAATTTGAATTCTTAATAATTAATGTAATATACTTCTCTAATAAAATAATAAAAGTTAAATCCAAGGATTTCTTTATTAACTTGTTTTCCTTCCATTTATTTTGCCTACAAACATAATCTTTTTTTATTCTACATTTATATGTCTTTTTCCTGCAAAAATATGTACATTCGTTTTTCGGCAAAAACAATTATTAGATTTATTTATCGTTTTTTCCCTGACATTGCCAGCAACCTAATTGATGTAAGCATTTCCAACTTGATTTTTTTTTATGTTCTTTTCTGACAATTTATTTTGAAATTTTTGTTTTTTCCAGCAGATGCAATATCTATGAAATTTAAGTTTCATGTAGTACATACCCAAAATATAATTAAAATTATTCAACATCGTTATTTGGTAAGTAAGTTAAATCATTCGTAACATTGTAAACTAGTCAGAAAATAGATGAAATATTATTTTAATACATGCAGCGTACACCCAAAATATACTTAACAAACGGTTGAAATTGCCACGTACCTAATTTCAGATGAATCTGGATACATTTGATCTGATATAAATTTCCCAACTTCTTATGTTTAAAGAAATCAATCCATATGACTAAGAGGTGGGATGGTTCAAAACTCAAAGCACAAGAACAAAGTTATATTTAGAGCAAGGCTAATATAAAATTAACAAACTTTCAGTTAACAACATTCCTTTTTGCCATTACCTCAAGCAAGTCAACACAACACAAGATTGGCAACTGTCCATATTGCAAAATTAAACATTTTAGTACACGTACATGAGTTTACTAATGAACAAGATAAGTAATAGAGTACATAAACACAAGTCTTGAAGTAGACTCTGGACTGGTATTAATTAGTATATTCCAGGAATGATTCTGTAAGCCACTTTCTCGCAGTACAGTTTCCAATATTTGCCATACCTGCATAGCAATATAGCATGTATGCAAATAAATTATCCATCAAATTACTCCCATCCCTTATCAGCTGAACCAAACTCATTTACTTACTTGGAGCGACACCGATCATCATCCCTTTTAGCTCGGTCCAACAGAAGGATGGTAAGAAATATCACATAGAAATATGGTAGAAACTGCAACCAAAAATTACGAAATAGATGAAAAGTATGTGTTTGTGTATGTGTTGATTAGAGTAGAAATAGATGATGCTTACATGATTAAAAAGGGCTGGAACTGTCCAGAAAAAAGCAGCCAAGATTTCTGGTGCATAATGAAAATGCCGTGCTAAACCCCACCTGCACCAACATAAGCAGCAAAATGCCCAATACTTCCCAATCCACTCTTATGTATATGTATAGGAAATGAAGCAGATGAAAACTCACCACCCAGAGGTTAAAAGAAGACTAGTTTTGGTTTCCCCAGATGTGGTGGTATATGAAGCTACTATCTGTTAAATAATACCAGATTTTATCACATCATATCACTAGTTAGTTATATGTATATTCATATAGACACAGAATTCTCGTCAAAACCTTTGATGGAGCTTTTCTCCAAATCAAGCACTTCCCATTTTTTCTTCGAAATTCTTGCCTCTGCCTGTCACAGTCATAGTTGATATATATACAAAGAAGGCCTGCTACTAGAATATATACTGCCAACTGAGAACCAAAAGGGGTTATTAGGAAAGTAGCATAATCGATAAAGAATCACAAGTAGAAATCATAATTCTTTGATTAAGAAACAACTACGCAAACACACCGAATGGAGTATCAACCTATTCAAACCATAGCTTTCATTCTTTAAGCCTACAAATACATTAAGATGGTGATCCAAAAAGTTAAATATTTTCCACATTGGCTAACCTAACCAGCACCCCTTCAATTAAAAGGTGATTAGAGCATCCCGCCTGTTTGAATTACAATTAATTGCTTAAATGTTAGAAGTTAACCAGACAAAATGGATATACCATACCTGAGTTCCAAGGTTTACAGGATGGTTGACCAAATACATGCCAGGAGAGGTATATACAGACGGAACCCATACTAAGCATCCCCAACAAATATAGAAACCAGCTGCAAAATCCAAGTTGCCAATTTTCAAGAGTCTTGCCAATTTTCAAGAGTCTTGTGATTGATAAAACAACAAGGAATAAGGATAACATAACATATTATTTTTTCTTCTTAATTTCAACAGCATAAAAGGACCATTAAAATCACATCCCAGTACAGTTTAGGCGGATATTAGTTGCAGAATTATACATCAAAATTTTCAAAATGGAAAACTAGTCACATCAGCTGTGCTCCAGCATTTCAATTAATAACAGAAGCGTATGAAAAAAATAATATGTTAAATAAAGAAAATCATACAATATAAGCTAACCTCTATCATGCGCTATGTCCATTGTGTTCCAGTACCCTGATTCCCACCAAAAAAACTTTGTAACATAAACCAACATCAATGCAGTATTTACAAGCATTGAATCAGCTATTGTCCCGTTCTTTTCATACTGAAAATATAAGAAATGAGAAGATAATTATTCCACACTTTACATCACTAAACACTTTGAATACCATAGAACCTACATAGGTACAAAAGTAAGTTCAATAAATTAAGGATGCTGTTTGTATTAATGAGATCCAGGATGGTTAGAAAGAAAAAGTTCTAATAGGAATGTAAGGCGGCTAGTTTCCTTTACTTTACAAGAAGGAAGAAGAGTGAATTGAAAGAGGGAAAATAGGGTGCTATAGGGCAAAGGCAAAGTAAATAAACTTTCACAAATGTAGAACTATCTTTCATACTCGGGAATGAATGCCTACCTATTTTTTATATTATTTATTTTTTAGACAACAAATGATTCATTAAGGGAAAAAACAAAGAACAGTCTAATGACAGGGGCCGAGGGGGCCCTTCCCAAAAGACTAACCGAGAAAAGCTCTCAGAATTTAATATTCCTATTGGCACCACCACGAGGCTAACAAATATACTCTATTACAAAAAGAATCTCAAGACTTAGCCTTATCTTCAAACGAACGAAGGTTCCTTTCCAACCATATACTCCATAACAAAGCTCTAAAAGAAAATTTCCACAAAGCTTTAGCTTTTCCTTCGAAATTCCACCCGTAAATGCCTACCTGTTTTATGCAGTAGGTCACAGCAAGAACTGCCCAAGACATCATCCCAAATCTACAGTTTGTGAAAACCTTAATATCAAAATTCTTTCCGATACGTGGGTACAACTCCATGCCCTGCAAGAAAGTAAATGAAAAAGGTGTTATGATTCTGAAATATCAACAGCACCAAGACTGGCCAATTCATTCATGGAATCGAACAAAATATGATACTCCACTACTTAATCAATCATCTTTTTCCAGATGCTTTAAAATGGAACCAAAGATAATCAAGCAAATACGATAACAAAACCACGGAACTTTTCAAGACAATCAGTGCATGTACAAACTCCATGGATTTCTCATAAGACTATCATCTGATTTGCGCCACATTACCCTTATAATTGTATCGGATAAGTTCAATAGTTCATTCAGAAGTAACGTCATTCAATAATCATCAATAATATGCATTACATTGTTGATTGTTCCAAAGTGTAGACATTTTTGGTATACTTTTGGTATTTTTTCATAGTTCCAATTTTAGTTTACACACAGTGATGGAGGAGGTTGTTTTGGGTCCTCCAATTCGAGATAAAGGTTGTTAACTTTGAGAAGCTGATTGTGAAATATTTGGTTGGGAAGGAAATGAAGAATATTTTCACATTTCGATAGGTAAGTAGAGGAGGTTTGGTGGCTGGTACGTTTTGATGCCTCTACTTCGGTTCACACACATCAAATTCTTTATGGCTCCTTATTTTTCATATTACCAACAGCTAAGGCTCCATTTTAAATATTCTCCCTTTTTTTTTTGGTGTCCCCACGTTCTTTGGGCCTGGCTTTTTCCTCCCTGTACTCTCATTCATCTGATAGCCGACTCTTTTATTAAAGAAAAAAATGAAAGTCGTGATGTCAAATTATAAATCTCAGAGGAATATGAAAACCTACCCAGTAGAAATCAATTATTATGTTACCAGAGGAGCCAGAATCCGAGGAAGATGGTGCCACATGACCCTTAAACATGCAAACACCAGGGTTATAAACACAGAGAATATATTTGTACCCGGTTTAGAAACTGGTATCAACACAACAGTCTAAGTCCTCACTTTTATGTATAGAAAAATACAAAAGATTAAGCTTCCAAATATGAGAGCTGAAAATATTTCTCCCAAATGATCATAAACAATTGTTGGGTTGAATATTCCAAACCTGAAGAATAAAAGTTTCAGTTATAGTAAGGAACAAGAACAATTCATAATGAATCCGGAAGGCATAAAAGACATTGCCTATCCAAATAATGTGTAATCTCATAATTACAGCACAAAAGACCATGAATATTTTACCAAGTCTTTGAGCATTACTATAACAATAATAGACCAAGATTGAGAGATATAGATTTTTTTTTAAAATTATTAGAAACCAAACTTTCATTGAGAAAAAAGAAAATATGAACAAGGGCATACGAAAACAGTCCGACCAAATTCCCCTTAGAGGAAGGGGCTCCAATCCAAAAGAATAACGCCTAACTAATAATTACACAAGCTCTTGGAAACTGAGGAAATATTAAATCTAATAAGCTCTCAAGCATACTCCCTAGACCTTTTCACCAACTAAAGATTCTATTATTTCTCTCCAACCAAATTTCCCACAAAGTAGCAAGAAAACAACAAGAAGAACCTTCCCTATCCCTAAGGGGGGTACAACAATACTTCCTCCAATATCGACCGACAATACTTATTGGGAACCAACGAGGCCACGAAGCACTAAAAAAACGATCCCATAAACCCTACACAAACTGACAGGACCATAAAATGTGGT